GAAGAACTCCAGATACGATACCGCCTAAGATTCTCATTCCCATTCCCATTCGCATTCGCATTCTGGGGGCCCAATCCCAATGCCGCTCAGCCTCATTGAATTTAAGTGCCAAATTAGGAACAATATTGAAGCACAATTGCCAGGAGGGGAGCTCTCTGGGTTCTCTCTCTCTGTCTCTCTCTCTGGCTCTGTCTCTGTGTAGAAAGCCCCCAAACACTGTCACTGGATGAAGTGAGCTGTCACGTTTGCGGTCTGCTTATGTCAGATTCAGCTGCAACCGTCTGCGGTCTCAGTCTCAGTCTCAGCCTCTCCTTTAAGCCCTTTAAAATGTGTTGTTATGATCGGGCGGCAACGATAAGTTAACTTTTCAGTTGGAAGTTGGAACTGAAACGAAGACTGGCGACTGCGACTGCAACTGCGACTGGGATGCTGATGGAGAGACTGCAATCTCAGTTGCAGCCTTGCGACAGGCTCTAAAGTTACGCGGCATTGGGTTTTAGGTTTTCGACTTTCGATGCAAATCATTTTACGTGTTGGCGACATTAAGCGCGAAATGACCCCGTTATCCCACTTGTCATCATCACTTCATAAATTAATGCTAAACCCAAGGAGGTAGCCACAGACACAGACAGAGACAGAGACACAGACACAGACACAGACCCAACCAGGCCTTCGCCCTCCCATGGCCCATCTGTTTGAGGGCACAAAGAGGGTCAAGATCAGAACCAGAAGTTGCACTCCCAGTTTGGGTGGAAATTTTGAATCATAAACTTAATTCCTAGCCCATGCCCCTGTACCCCCTACCACTGCCATCAGTCTCAAATTTGTGCCAACAAATTGGTCCCTTTAGCTGGCTGTCTGTGAGTGTGTGTGTCTTGGCCTGGCCTGGCCAAGAAACAGATCTCTGTGGTGGAGACTCTCGGTCTGGGGCCGCCTCGAGTGTGTGCTCCGCTTTGCGATTACGATCACTTTTAGATCCAATATATCAGAGGCGCGTTGACGTTGTACATTGGACGACAATTGATATAAGTTGTGGTGAAAAGTTTAGTGGCATTCAACGATTGCTTTGCTAGATTAAAAGCGACAGGCAGCCAGGACGGGACTTGGACTCGGACTGGGACTGGGACATCGATGTGGACTTGAAGCTGGAGCTGAAGAGCTGCAACGAGGCGGCACCGGGATCGAGGCGACTGTTGGCTGCCTGTGCCCTGGCCCACAAATCTTTTGCGGTCCCACCAACAATCACAATGCCAGAGGAAAAACACAACAACAACAACAAAACGAAACGAAACAAAAAACAAGGAAGAAGGCTATGGAGTTGATATGTGGAATTCAGGATACCCACTACTTACACTCTGCTATTCGAAATACCGTGTAAGAAAAAGGAAATAACAATAGCAACGTAATTTTTGAGTAACTTTCCCAACATAAAGGAAGAAGATTTAATAATATTCAAGATTCTTCAGGATATATCAATATCAATATCTGGGATCCTCCTGCCTGTTACAAACTTCTCAACATATTCAATATACCCTCGTAGTCCCCAAAATACCGATCGCAACAAAGTAAAATAAAATAAGTAAAGAAGCAAGCAGACAAGTCAGCAGACAAATAGCCGCACGTTGTACGTGCCGCTTTGGAATCTGTTTGGATATATGTACATACATATGTACACACATATATAAATCCGTATATATGTACATACATACATATATGTATCTGATCTGTTGCCGTGCTCTCTGTACATTTTATGGTAGTTGAGCTTTTTTAATTGCGGCCACAGCCACAGCAGAGCCGCTGCTTCAGCAGCAGCCGCCACAGGAGCGGCCACATGTACCCATCGGCCGTCTACCGTCGCCCCGTTAACAGTAAAACGCAAAATTATGCGATGCTACGTGATGACAACAAGGTGGAGCATTCCAATACGTCTCGCAGATGCTATCAGATCCATGGGGATATATCTCTGTGGCCTGTGGCCAGCCCACTGTCGGTTATTACGTATAAATTAGGGAAGAATATTTTAGTACGAATATTAGATGCTCTCTTTAACGATTTTCCCTTCATTCTTTTCATATTAAGATTTTATTGTGGCATTTATTTTGAATATTTTATTGATATAGATATTGGTAGGGCAAAGTTTCAGTGCCCCATTACCATTAAAATTTCTACATATATACAACTCCATTTGCTGCTTATAACATTCACTATACCCCACCTGCTAAAGAGAACACCGAGAGTTTATCATCAAATGACATCTAATGAGTTAGACATTGTCGCTTAGCGGGTTCCAGAGGTTCCACTGGGGTTCCAGAGCGCGCTCAACCTGCGGCTGCTTCTGCGGCTGAGCGCACCTTGAAGTTGATCGTTCGGATGGGGAGGAGGCTGGAACCTGTTGCCAAATATCTCGTAGATTCAGTGAGATTTATGCCTTTGCAAGGCTTAGAAAGAAATTTGGATGAGTCAAGGCGCGTGGTGAGGCGACTCAGTTTTGATGTGGAAACCGTTGATGATGAATCAGATGAGAAATCTGCATCTGCATCTGCATTTAAGCGGAGGAAAAAACCCAAGCCAACCAAAAGAGTTGTCACCTTCCCGAAGACGGAAATGATGATTGGGCTACCGAAGTGTTGAATCAGTCGCTGGTCCCCGGGAAGATGGCCGCAATTGATAAGTCCGTATGGAAAGAGGTCTTTCAGCAGCGAGTGGGTGCAGTGGGTGGGCAGTGAGTGGGCATTGAGTGGTACGCCCCCTGGCCTGGAGTGCAATAGAGCCTTGGCGATCGGCTTCGATCGGCTTCGATCCGCAGATCCTAAGCCAATGTGCGGCCAACAAAAGCAGCGGGTGACGGCGCAGCGCACACAGCGGGCCACCTCCTTCAGGTCGGATTTGTGCGTCGTCTCTGGATGGGAGTCGGAGTCAGAGTCAGAGTCGGAGTCTGAGCCGAAGTCAAACTGCGTGGATGTCGTCCTTTTGGTGGAAGGTGGAAACAGTTTAGGTTAATGCCATAAGCAGCAGCAGGCCAAAACCAACGGCAGCGGTTAACTGGAAAACCACACGTGCCTCAAAAGGCGACCACATGCCGATCTATATGGCCACAGCCTACATACAGAATACAGATCCCAGCAGCCGCATCCACATCCACAGTCCACATCCTGGGACACACTCGCCACAGTAGCTGCTCTGGCATTCGTTTCGCATTTGGAAACGCTTTCATTATAGCCAAGTCGAAGTGCGTTCTGGGTTGCTGGGCTCTCGGCTCTGGGATCCTGCCGTGAGACGCGCTAACATTTAAATTTGTCGAAAATGAACCTCAGAGAGGGTCCTCCTCCTCCTCCTCCTCCTCCTACTCCTGCTTCCCGGGCAATGTTACGGCTTATCAAAACATAGTCAATATTTAATTAACACGAACGCAGCAAGCCAGCAAGGGGGACAGACGCTTCGGACTTGAGTCATGCACGGGACGAACGAAGGCCCGAATGATTTATGATCTCTCATGTGAAATTCTCACTCTCTATCTCTTTCTGTACCTCTATACCTCTGCACCTCTGTATCTGTACCTCCTTTTTGTTTCTGTTTACCAATTGCGCTCACCACGAATCAATGTGCGAGCCGACAAAGGAACAGTTGTTCTAAATAGTGTACTTAATTGTTGGTAAATACCATCGTACGCAGTTCCCCTAAATGCTAAGCAAATGAATTGATTATCGCATCCCGCACAGTAAACACTCATAGGGTAGGGACATATCCTAAATATACAATGAATACACCCACATAGGGTAGATCCCAATTGAGTGCATCAACATGTGAAATCGTGGTTTTTACCAATGCAAGATGCTCGCAAGAGCACATGTAAATATCCCCTTTATAAGCAGTGGATTTGGTTCATCTGGTCGAATGGGCACTGTAGTTTCAACCATCAATCAACTGCGCATCAATTTAATTCTGCCTCGTATTACAAAACCAACAATTAGCTGTAAATGCGCACGAGAGGGAAGAGAGCGAACCACTACCTGCTTCAGATTATGATTCTGCTTCTTCACCTCTTCTCCCACCACCCTAAGCTGCTTGCTTATATGCAAAAAACATCGACCCATTGCCCATGCAAAAACAGAGCGGCGATAAGAAGCAAAGTAAGAGGAGACGAAATGAAAGCAAGCTTATGCGGTGTTCATGCTTGTGCATGCTTATGCATGGTGTGTAGTAGTGCAAGGTGATGCATTGGCAGTAAATGCTCTCATCATAGATGCAAATATCTGATGTGTAGAATTTTAGTCGCGCAAGGATGCAAATAGAGCAGCAGAGTGACTACTTTAGTACATATGTACATATATGTATGTATGTAGTACCACTTTTGTGGGCCTACCCTATGTAAACAGATCATCTTATGACAGATACACATGAAAGCAGAAAGTTCCAGCCAGTTCCCAAGTTTAACCCAAGCAGCTTATTACCCACTCAAAAATCATATAAAAACACATCATTTAAGGCTTTTTTTTGTCTTTTAATTGTATAAATATGTTTATTTATTAACTTATTGGTTTGCTGTCTCTCTCTATGAATATAAGTACATTAATTGCGTTTATTTTTAGCTGATTTATTGGAAAATAAAACAGAAAATTTCTAGAATTTTACACTGTCTGCATTTTATAATTATTTTAGTTTTTGTTTTATAGTATATATTTGTATAAATTGTATAAATAGCGGAAAAACATGTACAATCTTATTGCCGGGCACTTACAAAAAGAAATAAAAAGAACAAAAACAATTTCGGGGTAATTTTTTGTTTAAATTTTTGTTTTGTTTTTGTGATTTTTTTTCGCAAATTTTGTCTCATTTTTTATTCATTTAAAATTTAAACTTAAACAAAACAATCGCATATCGTAATATTTATTTGATAATGTTTTTTTTGTTGTTGTTGTTTATTATTAATATTATTATTAATTTTATGTAATACATTTTCAACGTGTTTTATTTTCATTTTTTGATTTTAAAATAAAAATACTTATGATTTAGGGGTGTCTGTGTGTGTGTGTTTTGTTTTTTGTATTATTGTTAAGTTTTAATTAATTTCATTATTCATAAAAATATAGCGAGGGAGGGCAGGGGGTAAAATGTTCAATTTTGAAGGCAAGAGAATTGCAGCTGATTTATGTTTCTATTTCTAAATGTTGCTAAGGGAAGTTAAACCCTCTGTGTGTGACTTTCGTTACCGTTAGTATAGAAAGCGCAAGAAGCTTAAGCTTAATTGCACTTTCGCTGGCAATTTGAGCCACACTTGAGAAAGTTTCTGGCAACATTTTGGTGGAGTTTATGTGGTTCTAATCAAGCGGTTAAGTGTTGCTTCCTTCCGGTTTGCTGGATCGGTTATTGTTGCTCTAGCTGTTAATGATGCTGGGTAGGAATATCCTGCTGGGTTGACAGATCCCTTGAATCCTGTTGGATCCTTTAAGGGGGGTGTTGGATCATCCCCCCCCGAATACTGCTGGATCGAGTGATTATATTGCGTTTTTAATGTGGCTTAAGCGAAAGCTCTATCGGTTATTGTTGCTAGGAATAAATGTTCCACTGGTTGCTTTAGTGGTTTCTTCTACCTCCCATAACCACCACGCCCACAGGTGTCCTTGTGTAGATTTCTGCAAGTATTTTGAAGAGAATTTTGTTGCTTCTGTTCTGTTGTTGTTGCTGCTATTGTCGTTGTTGTTGCTGTTGCTGTTGGTGGTGCTGCGCCTGCGCAACATTTTGTGAATGTTTTTTGTTGATGGATGGGGGGGCGTGGCAAGTGCATTGAAGAGACCAAAGAAACCAAAAAAATCGAAATAGATAAAACCAACACCCGATCTAGCCATCCATTCATTCATTATAGTACACGATGTTGTGGCTGTTGAACTTAGGCTTAACGTTTTATATATATATATCTATATTTTTTTTTTTTGAGTGGTGAATGAAGAAGGCGGTGTGTGTGTGTGATTGTTGTAGGCTGTTGCTTTTGCTTTTGCGTTTGCTTTTGCGGCTGTTGCTTCGTTTTGCTGTTCAGATCCCATTCAAATGGATTTATTGTAGTTTATATATATAAGATATAGCTGTGATATTGCGTGCTGTTGTTGGTGCTGCGGTGCTTAGATATCGGTTTTACTTTATATATTGCTCTGTGTGTGTGGTTTTTTTTTATATATATTTATATATATATTGTATGTATATATGGTATTTTAGCTTATCGCCAAACACACTGACTACATCTACAAATAGAAAAGAGAGAGAAAACGAGAAAAATATAGAGAATAATTCGTGATGTGGCAGAAGGTTGTGCGATAATTCGGTGAAGAGAAAAAATTACAATATTAATGATATATTAACAAAGCGATTCGGTGGTTCTGTTTGCGCCCGAAATGAGATTGCGATTGCGGTTCTTTTATGGTTGGTTAGGTGTGTGTGTGTGTGCGTGCTGTTGTGGGTGTGTGGGGGTGTATTTGTATGTTTATGTATGTACATTTATGTATGCGTTTAAGCTTTTTTCCCCACTCGAGAGCTTTTGTCCGGAAACTATTTCAATTTTGTGACTTATGTCCTCAATAATGTATCGAATTGATAGATTAGAGCTCTACCAAAATTTGGTATTTCCTGTTGGCAGCATATGTAGAATAAATATGTGGGGACTAGACACATATTTAACCCATATTTGCACGAATCTATTTTGGAATATAGTAAATAATTTGTTGGAAAATATATAAGATTTCCCAATTCTAATGATGTGAAGACTTCTCAACTGCTTCCCGAACTCAAATGGTAATATTCTCAACAAATTTCAGTCATAGTATTCTCTCTTAGGTATTCCATTTCATTATGATACTTAGAAATGAGCTCTACTCAATAAATCATATGTTAACATAAGCTACTTTCTATGGGAACTCATTATAGAGACTAAATATAGGCATATTCTGTATATTTTTACTATTTCTAGCTATCGCTCAATTAGAGAGAATTACGCTCATTGAAAGGTGATTACTATATCCATCTGCCTGTGCAAAACCTTCTGTTATCAAAGTTTTTCCCCTGGCTATAAATACCTCTGGTATATCTCTCGTATACTTCTATATTCTATATTTAATTCTTTCCATTTAAGGGGTTTTTTTATATCCAGCAATATAACTTGATATATGAATAATCTGCCCAAGCAAAACGTTTTACCAAGAAAGTGATTCCCACTGGCAATGAATAGATATCTACAGTGGGGAGCAAAAGTGAGTACATACTCAGTATCACCGACTTTCGTCGCCCATAACAGCTAAACGCATAAAGCAAAACAAACCAAATATTTTTCATATATCAATTACTTTATTCTTAGAAAATAGGTAATAACAACAAAAACAGATGGGAAGCTTTCATTGAGAGAAAAATAGAAAACCAAAACAACTCGCATGTACTCAGTTTTGAACTTTTTACAAAAATCTAAGAAAATCACTTAAACTTAATATTTTGTCCATAGACCCTTATTAGAAATGACATTATTAATACGCTTTGGCATACTCTCTACCAGTTCTCAATGAGCTTCGAATACGATTCCATTCCATCTGTACACGGCCCCAGAGGTCGCCTAAGTTAGATGGGGCTGATTCGTACTGCCCAAGCCGTCGTTTCACGATTGACCATAGGTTTTCAATCGGATTGAGGTCGGGACTTTGAGCTGGCCATTCCATCAACTTAAAGCTTTGATTCCCTAGCCATTCCCGAACAATTTTCGCTGTGTGCTTCGGATCCCCATCTTGTTGAAAAGTAATTTCTGCTTCGGAATAGGCACATTTGTCAAGAAAATTGGGAAGATGGGCTTGCAAAATTTTTAAATACTCCTCTTTTCGCATGATCCCATCTATTTTTTGTAGAGGACCAACGTTCCACCATGTAAAACATCCCCAAACCATGATACTGCCGCCGCCATGTTTCACGGTTTGCTTAACATGATGTCTTTGCAGTTTTTCTCCGGGCCTACGCCAACAATACTGCTTCCCATCCGATTGATAACGGTTAAATTTTGACTCATCAGACCAGATTACGCGTTTCCAGTCATCCTTCGTCCAATTTTTATGCTCCCTTGCAAATTTCAACCTTGCTTTGACATTTTTTTCCGACAATGCTGCTTTGTTTTTCTTAACGGCTGCAATGTACCCAATGTTGTGAAGCGCTCTTCTGGCTGTCGAGCGACTAACATTTTTGTTTATTGCCATAGAAGCACTTTTGGTGTTAGTACTATTTTTCCCATTTCCGAAACATAAGTCTAGCTTCTGAGTCTGTTAACTCTTAGGGCGGCCTTGGACTTGCTGTTTGGGGACAACATTACGCCCTTTTCACCTGATCACCACCGATTGACTAATTCCAAGCTTTTTAGCAATAGTACGTGTCGAACAGCCACTATTAGTAAGGCACACAACACTATTTTCAATTTCAATAGATAGTTTTCTCATTTTAGGCACAAAGTATAAAAAATTTAGTAAATTCAATAAATCTCACCGACTCGTAAGAAGAACACTTAAATTAAATATGTATGACAAGAACACAAAAGAAGAGTTTAACTGTAAATCTTCAAGCTTTTTGCTGATAAGAAACTTGAGAGCGGAAAAAAAGTGCAATGACGAAAAGTTCAAAACTGAGTACATGCGAGTGTTTTGGTTTTCTATTTTTCCAATGAAAGCTTCCCATCTGTTTTTGTTGTTATTACCTATTTTCTAAGAATAAAGTAATTGATATATGAAAAATATTTGGTTTGTTTTGCTTTATGCGTTTAGCTGTTATGGGCGACGAAAGTCGGTGATACTGAGTATGTACTCACTTTTGCTCCCCACTGTACGTCTAGGAATACACATCATAATGACACCTAGTTCCCCAACTCTGTCTGTGACCAACACCGAATATAGGGAATTCTGATCCATGCACTTTAACCTTAGATGTGCCAGATATGTACATACGAGTGTGTGTCTTTAAGCAAGCCCAAGGCACAGCCCTGACTCGGAAGCGATTGGAATTGAAGGGTCAGAGGGTAGGATATTAAGACTCACCTGTGCTGGCGAAGATTATCACGCTGCTTGAAGTACTTGCCGCAGACCTCGCACGAGTATGTGATCTCGGGCGATTTGTGGGTGCGCTCGTGGATCATCAGGTTGTATGGCTTGGTGAAACGCCGCTGGCAGTACTTGCAAATGAACTCGCACTTTGGACGCATCTTGCGACGGAAGTCCGACCGGCAGTCATCGTTGTCGATTCGCATTACAGCAAACATTTTGACGGCGGTATGTGGCGGCTTCTCCCTCGGGGGCTTTTCGGTGGCTTTTTCGGCGGAGTGTACTCACTGTACTCACTGCTCTCTCTCTCTCACCTCACTCTCTGTGCTGGGCTGCTCTCTTTCTCTCTGACTCGCTCTCTCGCCCAACCAACAAATGGGGGGACTGACAATGACTTGCTCGTTCTCTCTCTCTCTCTCTGTCTGTCTGTCAGTGGGGGAGTTGCCGTGTGCCGTGTGCTGTGTGTTTGGGTGAGCTTTTGCTCGGTGTACACTCTCTTTCGTCTAATCGTTATCTCTCGCCAGATAACACCGTTAATTACGGTGAGTGTTGCCAGTTGGTTGGTTTTTTCCTGGTGAAATGCGGCAACGCTGCTCCCGTCCGACTATCTTTTTTTCTGCTGCTGCTGCTGCTGCTCTATCTGTGATTTCTCCCTATGGTGTTGTGGGCGTTTTGGGTGGGCCGCACTGCTGCTGCTGCTGCTGTTGACTTTTTGGTTTATGGCGCACTTTAAGGCAAACACCTAAAAACAGAGACAAAAATATAAAGTTAGCAACGCCTGCGACAGCTTTTATGTGCCAATAAATTCAGTCAGAAAAAAAAAATATACACATATGTATATTGTATAATGTATATTCCAACCGACAAGTTGTCTGTGTCCGCTTCGGCGCTCACGCAACATGAAATTGAAAATGACTCATTAACCAGCAACCAAATCCGTGCCTGAAACTCGGTGTTGACATTTACAAATCACCACAGATGCCCCATACTCGTACTCTCCATTCCCCATACAGCATACACCATACACCATATCCATGCCCAAGTCTCGGATGGTAACCTTCGAGAGGCCTTATAATAATTTGTCTTCAACGACACCATCGATTGTTCACCGTTGTCTCTGTGTAGTGCTTTACGCAGTGTCGCCTTTCGGCTTCGCTAGGGACTGTGCTGTACTGTACTTTACTTCCGCAAACACAATTGTTCAATTAGCTGTAGAGTAATCATATGATTGGAATCATATTTATAATCATATTATTTTGGGCATTTTTTATACAACTGAGTCATATCAATAATTCACCCAATTGGGGCTACGGCTACTCCCCCGTCGCGTTATAACCAAGTACAGTTGCCAAATACGCCCTGTTCTTGGCCACTTCATTAAGGTGGCGCTGTAACAAGTTTATTTTTAATTGGCGCCTTGCCAAACCGAATGAATATTTATGCCCAACGCTTCTCTTGGGATTCCTTGATCCCTCGATTCAGAGTCCGCGCCCGCGTCCGCGTCCTCGCGGTAGTTAACAACTGTTATTTTTTATGTAATTTTATTTTTGTCATTTCGGCGCCGCTGGATGGCAGTTTTTGTTCTTTTTAGGATATATATTTCCCAGATTTAGTATGTCTCTGCCTTTTCTTTGGCTCGGGGTTTGGGATTCGGATTCGGATTCGGGAATTTCTGTGCGAAACAAAAGCCAGCGCTGACTGGTAGCGACAAGCGTCTCGGCAAGGCTCGATTTCGATATTTATTTATATGTTATGGTGCTTTCAGCTCGCAGCTGGAGCACTTTTTGGGTATGGGAACGGGTTCCCGATTCGGGATCGGTTCGGTTAGGGGAGCTAACGTTGACAACAAAAGCCAAACGTCACAGCGGGTGCTGCACCGGCCGCAGACGGTACGTAGTTATTGTCATTATAACATTAATGCCCACTAAACATATTCAAATTATAACACTGACTTTCCAGCCTCTCTGGATCTTTGCTTGTGTTGGTGGAAGAGGTCCAGGTCCCCGGTTGGGTCCATGGCTGGGTCGCTGATCGCATTGGTCATGTCTGTCTCCGTCTCCGTCCACGTCTGCCTTGCCGTCTCCGTCTCCGTTTCGGTGCCCAGTCTCTCTGAGGGGGACTCTGCGACTCCTCCAATGTTAATTTGTGTACACAATGTGGCGTCACATTGGCATTTTAACGCCGTTAATCATGCGACACAGGGCGCCTGCATAAGGCCATCCATTCGATATGGATTCTTTGACTCTGTCGCTTTGGCTGCCCCAGCCTCGCTTTGGTCTCGGATTTGGATTTGGATGTGACTTCGACTTCGACTTTGGCTATGCTTTACTTTGGCTCTGACTCTGTGGCTTTCAGCGTGGGCTTAAGTGGAGCACCATTAGCCACGGGTTACGGCTGGGGGTTAAGCACTCTATTTGGTCATTTGGTGGATGAGTCGCAGATGATGGTTGAATTATATGCAGTTGCAGAGAACAAGGAACTGGGGGGACAGTGCTGTAGTCAACTGGGAGAAATTCGAGCTGGCAATTGAAGAAAAATCCAAGGTTAAATGAGTTGGGATTAGAGTACAGATCATCACCTAGGGGTTTCGGAGCGCATACCAACTCGTGAAACTTTTCCCAACTCATTTAACTACATATACCCAAGAAAGAACAAGGAATTGCCATTTTTAGCGTTAGCCAAATGCCATTTTCTGATCCACTTAACAGATTAGTATAATCTGTCGAAAATCCATCCAAACAATCATGGCAAACCATCACACAATCTTGCCAAAACCATCGCAAATCCCAATGGGCGTTTCTTGGCACCTTCAGCCGTCAGCAGCCGTCTCCAACTGTTAGTATTTGGCAACTGCGAATCCGCTTAGCCACCGGAGCCACAGAACACCCACAGATCGGACCAGAGAACTGCCCAAATATTGTATAATAAACTGTTGTCCAACGCAAAGATAATCCCATTAATCCGCACTGAAAATAATTAGTGTTGTGTACACACACACACATACACTGAGAGAATCTTTGAGGGAGAGATGGAGTGATAGGTGAGAGAGAGAGACCTTTGCTCAAAAGATGGTTCACACAGCGTGATCCTGACTCTGCCTTCAACTCATCCCGAGCCGAGTCCGAGTCCGCAGTCCCAGAGTCGCAGTGAAGGGCATGCGAAAGGCGTTAATGCTGCGTGAAATTAGATTTGCAGCAGGGAAAGAGCAGGAGAACCAAATAAAAATGGCATGCCAGCGACAGAGAGAGAGAGAGGGAGAGAGAGAAAGAGCGAGAGATTATTCCATATCTGTGATGGGAAGAAGTGCAAAGTAAGTGCGACTGAAAGAGCGCCTTCCACGAACCCACAGACAGAGTTACAGTTTAACACCCCGACAGAACCGAACCAGAGATGAGATAAATGTACGAACGTAGCGGTACGAACGATAACCAGAGTGACACACACGTCGAAGGGCCGAGGGACATGGTCAAAAGCGATTACCACACTTCTCCTGGGCTCCTTTCACAAAACACTTCTCTCGTTTTTTTGTTTCATTTTCAATTTTGGAGGCGGACAGTGAGTTGGCAAGGTGCCATTAAAAATTACAACCGAAAAGTGAAAAAAAAAACGCAGGGAGAGATGACAATAAAGGGACAAAAGGCACCGAAACCCATTTGATACGAATCTAATTGTGCTAATGGCACAGAATTCTTGGGAAAAACACCCACACCGTCACCGAAAAAACAGAGAGATGGAGAGCAGAACCAATATGTTGGCAGTGGAAACAATTAGGATATGTGGCAGTGCCACTTCAAGTAGAACAAAAGGTGAATGCAACACACAAGAAAAGATGACCCCAAACAACACACCGCAACAGACAACGGACAAAGGAAGAAGGATCTCTCTAGATCTCTGGTTCTCTGGTTCTCACTCATCTGCTGCCAACAACGAATGGGGAAGAATGGGAAAGAAAGTTGATTTCTTATGGATCTCACAGCTCACATCTGAGACGATATGACAGTCGGTCAAAGTCAGGGAAGATTAGGTGCCAGCTGAAGTCCATTTACAGTAATCGTTTAGCAAATTAGACTCTAATTGATGAGGCACAGCGTGTGGTCTAGACGAGGTCACACGCACAACAGGCAGAAGACCAGACACCCAGAAGGTTGAAAGTCAAGAAAGAAATGGGAAAGGAATGAAAGATAAAGGAACTAACTACTCAGGAATACCTAACATCTAGTTTAAAAGTCACACCAGTTTCCCTCTTGATTCATGAAACTTTTTCAACAACTGTTAACCCATTCGACTCGACACTCATTGGTATTTCATAATCCAACGAAAGGCGAAAACTTCATGGCTCAAAGCTATGACTCACCATCTGGAAATTTTGGCCAAATCTGTTGCTCATGATGAACAGATCATCGTTCGACATTCCTGGCGATGATTCGCCTTGCTCGGTGGTGCCTTCTGTGATTAACCTTCTCTAGGCTAGACCTTGTTTTAAGCCACAAGAAGTTTGCCTCGTTTCATGCTGACTCATCTGTTGACCAAACCAATGGGGAAGCTTTTGACTTGACCAATTGCCGACGGCTCTTTGGTGATATGTTTTTTTTATTCCTTAAGGTGGAATAGTGTTGAAAACTTTATATTCAGTTGAAAATGAATAGGAAAATTATATTTTTAGGAGTTTCTGATATATGAAAGCTTTAGATATTGCTGCTGATTAGTAGGGAATACCCGTGGAAACTTTAAGGAATACTCGAGAAACGCACAATTTTTTTAAAGATCTTCTAAAGTTATGAACTTTGCTTTGTTAAGAATAAATGTATATAAGAAGATATTTTTATGACTCTTTGATGGATTCATAATCATAAACTGACGAAAGTTTTTCTGCATCCCATTCTTTGTTTATTTTAAAATTCCGGAATTCTTTTTTAATGTTTCTGATTTAAATTTAATCAAAATAATTAGTATTTCTTTGATTAAAAAAAATTGTCTTTCACTGACGATCTTCTAAGATATTATTCAAAAGTGCTAGTTTTAATGCCCTGATCAAATAGATATATTTTCAAGAGATCGAATAATTGGGAATATTAAGGAACGTGTTCAATTCTAATAGGTTTGCTATAATATTTGAAGTTGGGTGCATCTTTATTTTCTCCCATTTAAGAGTATTCTTTGTTTTACTTTCATCTCCTAGAATCCAATAGGGAAATGTTCGATTTGCTGTTCGCCATTTTGGCAAATGGCGACACTTTCCCACACACACAAAAACATCAGACAAGTGGCCGAAAAAAGCTCCATTTGCCACACGCACGCCATATTAGCATTAGACCAGCAGCTCTATCTCCCTCATGCACACACACACACACACACACGCATACACATTCCCAAAGAGAGTGAGAGAGAGAGCGAGAGGGAGAGAGTCACGCACCCACATTACGTGGTTGTCCAATGAAAGAGCGTAAAACTGGTAGCCGAAGCAACAAGTGAAGTGAAGACGGGGCATGCATGCGGCAAGGCAAGGCAAGGCAAGGAAGGGGCAACAAGCCAACAAGCAAGTAAGAGGCAGAACAAGAACGAACACGAACGAGCGCCATTGCTACTGGAATTGAAATTCGAGAATAAAACTTACCCAATGGGAGAGAGCGGAAATGTTACGATGCTGCTGTTGCGGCTGGGAAACAAACGGGTGGAATGTTGTGGAAACTGGAAACTGGAATTACGCGACGGTTGTTGGAATCGGTCTGTGGTCCGGGCCTGGGCCTCTGCTCGAGTCACGTACTTAACGATGTGGTATTTCTATGGGATCTGTCTGGGGATAGATAGATGGATCGCTGGCTGATGGCTGATCTCTTTCTGGAGGTGCTCGTACTCGCGAAGGAACTGAGGGAACTACGCACTGCGCGGCACAAAGTTGAATGAATGAATGAATAACTGAAAGAAATAGTAGTCAACGCTGTTGCTGCTGTTGCTGCTTGCTGCTGGCGTCGCTGCCAGCGTCGCTGCTGGCAAGTGAGGAAGGCGACGCAGAAGCAGAAGCAGCAGCAACAATCGCTCTGTCTCTGTCTGAGCGAGTGAGTCAGAGCATAAAATACCAGTAGTCCCGAAGCGGGTTCGGGTAAAAGAAGAAAAAAAAAATTTCATGCTACTGCGCATGCGCAACACTTAAGCCGTCTCGCTCTGGCGCAGGGCTCCACACTCTTCGGGTTTTAGTGTATGCGTGCGTAAGAGCAGAAGCTTTCTTTCGAAAAAGGGGTAACGGTCACAAAACGGTAGCCACAAAATGGCTACACTTCTAAGAGCAACAAAATGGCGGTGCGCTTACCTACGGTGCGTTCTGTACAGCTTTTGTTCTGCGTGCTTGCTGGTATTTCTTGTTGATATTGTATATTCCACAGATCGTATACACCATATAGCCTTTGTGGCAAGAGACCTCTGTTGCCTCGACGGTAATATTATTAATAAAATATATTTCACTTCCGAACGCTTCTGTGCGCGAGAGTCAACTGCAAAGTTACGATCGAAACTTCAGGCTTGATGGGTTGTAGCTTTTTGTGTGTGGTTTTACCTTATTTTTTTGTTGCTCACTCTCACTCTCCCTCCCGCTCTCTCAGCTGTGAGTGCACTGGCTCTGTCCCGCTCTAACCTAAGCGCTGTGAGCGTAAAACAAGTTTTGAGTGCGACTGCTGATTGGTTGTCCAGCGATTGAGCTCAAGAGCGAGTGCCAACAGAGTGGTAAAGTGTGTGTGCTACGCTCTCCGTTGAGTGTTTTCTGGGGCGTTACATGATTTGACTGCTAATTAGGTTTAAGTAAGGCAACATTTCAATTAGGCGCTGCTGCTTAATGAGAGAAAGGTGAGAGCTTTTAATGGCTTAAGCTCTCTCTGTTTCAATGCAACGGGAGCTCTCTTTCTCTCTGCAAACTTTCTTTCACTTGGCTTAGTGTCAAGTGGGCGTGTCCTATTCTGTGGCGCTTTGGGCGGCGCTCTGAAGCCTGTCAAGAGAGCAGCGCAACCGTATTACGCAGTTTCAATCTCTCCCTGTCTCACTCTCTCTCTGTCTCCCTTTAGCTGTTGTTCTTCTTCTGCTTTCAGCTCCATTTTGTTCATGTGTGTGGGAAACTTTTTGTTCAATCCACTCTCGAGACATTTCCTTTTGGCTTTTGCCGCCTTTTGCCGTGTGTGTGGCCTCTTTTGTAGATTGTCTGTTTGTCTTTATCTTTCTATAGATATAGATTCTCCCCTTGCTCTTGCTCCCCCTCCTCCACTGCGTTCGTCTTCTCGTTTGTAGCGATTTCTCAATGGAATCTCTCATTCACAAAATATTTCATTAATTTTTTACATCTGTTTTTTCGGGTCTCTTTGTTTTGTTTTGTTAATCAAGTGTTTCGCCAAAAAAGGATTTGCTGGCCAATTTTTTAATTAAGTTTTCGCCTTTCGACATCCAAGCATCAATAAAGTTTAACAAATTATATCTGTCTCGCTGGCCCTCTGTCTCGTTGTCTCTCACTCTCTGTTTTTGGGCATTTTTAAGTGCAATCTGTTGGCGGTATTCAATGGAGACTCCAACTCCATTTGATGGCTTCATTTTTGCTTTTGTTTTTGTGTCAAATTTGCATATTTTAAATGGGCAATCACGAGTCTCGAAAAGGAGACGCTCCGGCAATTGTGAGGAGCTTCCTTATGGAGGCGAAACTAATTATGAAACGGCCACAGAAGACGCTCCACAAAACAAAAAGGGGGAACAAAAATGAGAAATCAACTTGAAGACTTCATTCGTATGATGAAAAAATTGATTAAAAGTCGGCAGTTATATGGATGAAAACAGGGGAATTTTATTCACAAAATGTCTGAAATTAATGCCATAAAATATGATCGGAAATATTCTACATACATTTTTACGGCCCTCTCATCACTTTTCTCTCCATTTTGACTCACCTCAAAAGTCTTTCCAATGTTCTTTTAACCCATTTGAACTCCCATCGATCATCCGTCTATCATCAGAAACCCTTCAAACCCATTCAAATGGACTACCCTTCTAACTCGAATGATTCAAATGACTTGCCACAACTTTCTCAATGACCAAATCAACCTCAAAGAAGGCAATCTCTCAAGCCAACAACCACTACCCCAGACACAGACAGTGCACAAAAAGTATTAAATTTCATTAATTGCCAAAATTAAAAAGGCAAACAAAATCAGGCAAGGCAACAAACAGCAAGCACAACAAAAAGAATAAAGATTGGTGAAAAATTAATAATTCATACGGCAGCGATGCGGTCACATAAATTTTAGGGGAGCAGCCAACAAACCGAGGGCAAAAAGCAGACAGATTAAAAAAAATTATAATAAATATACATATGTGCGAATACACGGAAAGAAATTGCGTTAAATATTGATGGGAAATGTGGTGGTTAAACACAGTTACTTTCAGGAAAATTAAGATTCAAAAATTATGATCACAAAGATGATGGATTATAATGATAATCTCTATTGTAGACGCTGTCCCATTTAATATAATAATTTTTCTCTCTGTAAAAATGGGAATCTGTTGAAGAAGCCACCAAGCAAATGCTAAAGACGTGGGCGTTCAATTTGATCTTTTTGTCTGGGGGTTTTTTTATACATCTTTTTTTTTTTTGGTTAATAATAATGAAACTGGACCGCAGCCACCGCAGTAAGGCGTTGTCAACAGTTGGAGATGATGATACCCGTTTGATGAGAGGAGGCTGATGACGAGACCGACCTGGCCCTCGGAGCTGGAGTCCCATCTTCATTTGGCACACGGTAGTTGTCTCAGTTGTCATTTAGCCACAGCTCTCATTCAAGGTGTACTGGCAACCGTTCGAGGCGAAGAGGTCTTTCTCAGTGTCGTGACTTGATTTATTTTGGCCCACACTTGGGCTCAGACTTGGGGTTATACATAAATTTGAATTATGGTACGCTGGCTCGTAAATTCGTTGGATGATGTTTCTATTTTAACAGTTAGTCGCTGGTGGTAGGAACCGAACGATCTATCAATGAACTCGCAGCTGAATGAATTGCCCCAAAACCTGAACACAACATTCGATTGATCGAATCGAATCCCTCATTTGATATGCAGTTTCGATCTTCAGTTTGTATGCTAATTTCCTGCCTGTTCGGTTTTCAGTTTCAGTTTTTAGATGTCCATTGTGTTCGCATTTTCGGTTGGTTTTTGTTTTGTTTTGTTTTGTTTGTATTTTTTATTTAATTTTAATTTTTATTTCGTAAATTTTAAATTTGTTGTCAATTCTGTGGGAGCAGCAAAGGTTTATCCACACTCCACTCTCCACCGACTGACGACTGGCTTTCGAGCTGTTGGTCGTTTTTTTATTATAATTGGGTGCGGTTCGGTGTGGTTCGGTAGTGTTTCTGCAGAACTCTATGAATCGACGGTATTGTTCAGTTATAAAAAAAAACACACACGACTCTTTTTTGTGCGGCAGCAGCCATAGAAATTAATAAAATTTATGGTTTATTTGGAATTCTTGTTCGTTTTTTCGGTCATTAATTCGCCATAAAGAAGTAGGCAAAGTGTGTGGCAAAAGCTTTTAGAGTCGAATGACAGGGGAGAAGCTGTAGCTGTTCATTGGGTGTATTTTTGGAATGATAACTCTATTGGCAGCAGAGTTACGATGCTGTGGTGGGGTGTATATAAAACACGATGGATTGGGTTTTAGTGCAGATTTCTCTTAAGTCTGCTCGCACTCGAATGGAGTCTCTTCAGTTGAAAATTCTGGGAAAGCCATTACTTTAAACATCTCATTTAACCCATAATAATCCCCTTTGCACTTTTGTCCATTCACTCTTAAGCATCCGCATCAAAACCTGGGCTCCCATAACACTTATCGCTGAACCATTTATCTCAAAAGGTGTCAACCCATGTCTTCTAGATTACTATGTACGAGTATATGGCAGCCCCTCAACTCTTCCAGCCCCATCCTCTGCTTTGTGTTTAAAAACCTGTAAATTGTCCTATTTTCATGGGAAGACAATCCAACTTCTATACAAATTACCAGCCCACATCTTTTGTAAGAGTTTTCACTTTGATTCTAAGTGATTTACGATCGATTTGGTTCTCTGGTGGTGTCCTAAGCGCCACATGAACTTCCGTTCCATTCGAGAGAGGTGTCGCCCGCGTGGGTGTCTCTCTGTCAAACCAGGAAAAAATACCAAATTCAATTCGAAATTAATAGTAGAGGAGGGTATCCCATGAGACACCGAATACGAGACCGAAAAATGTTTTATTACATTGATTTGCATTTAAATCGATGTTGGCGGCGGCGTCATTCATTCTGTTCGAGTGGGGACTTTGATTGGGGGGGAGGGCCCATGAGCGGGGGGATAGACCGATGATTACGGACCCAGCGAGCGGTCAAAATGTTGACAATGATCCCAGATATCCCACACCGAGAAGTTGGCTTCAAGTCGGAATTGGAATCGGACTTGGGACCCCCAAACTGAAAACTTGCAAGTTTTCAATGAATTTGTCTGTTTCTTTCTGGCTGTTCGTTGCGTTGATCGTCTCTTGTGTTGGTTCTTCATTCGGATGATCTTCTGCTACTTTTTCTTACGGATCTTCGGCTTCAGATACCTCTCTCTGCTTTCTGCTGCTTTTTTCGATTTCTAATTCTTTTTTCTAATCTTCTTTCCCCTCATTCTGTTTCCAGCATGAATGAACGCGTCGAAGTTTCTATCCTTTCAAACCGAAACTTTTTCTCTTTGTATATTAGATCATAAATTATTGGATCTTTTGCATATATGACAAAACAAATAATATTCGTTCTTTTTCCTGTTCCTTTTTGTTTGTCGGGTATGTCGTGCTTCCAGTAGCCACCCCGCTGTGCAACCCATACCTCCCTGCCCCACTGTTTTGGGCAAAATTTATTGGTTTTTTCATTTTTATTGAGAAATTACAAAGAGTCGGGGGGACAAAAAGAAGAAGGAAGTAAGGAATCTCTGGGGAGTAGGTGGCGCCTGGCTTTAGAGGATTAGAGACAAGCGCTTACTCACTCGCACAAAGAGGATGATGGAAAGAGGAAAGAAGAGAGAATCTGAGTGAGACAGGCACACATACAGTATTTCCGAGAGAGAGATAGAGTGAGATCGATCCCCCTCACGATTTATGCCCACAAAATGCTTTAGGGCACAGCATATTTCTGTTCATTCAAAGTAAAGTCGAAATCGGGCAACAGGTTTATCTTTTTGTTCCCCATGCCACAACCTCTACCCTACTCCCCTCCCCCGAAAACAATGAGAAAATGAAACTCTTCGGCAAAGCACTCGCTCTGCTTGCCCAGCAACAACAACAGCAACAACGAGAGCAGCCAACAGCTGCCTCCCACCAAGTGCTCCCGAAGCACAGCGCTCACCAAGCCGAGCCGAAGATTGGAGCCGAAGCGCCCAAACCTTACCCGAAGCCAGCCCCAGTATCGAGCTCAAGTCAAAGCCAAGAGAGGGGCCGCCACTCGTTCCACTCAGTGGAATGGCATCCGAATCCTACCGTGGGAAATGAACAGTAGTCGTTTCGCTGAGGCTTTTTGCCAGCAGCAGCAGCAGCCAGTTTGCTGACGTTCCACCTCCTCCTCTTCCCACTCTTCCACCTCTTGCTCTTTCTCTTCTTCTTCTGCTGTTGCTTTTGTTGCTCTCTTTGAGCTTTTCGCAATTTCTCTGCAGCGTTTTGCTTGTGTCTTCGTCGTCGGTCGGCGCATATCAAATAAGCCTAATAATAATGCAATTTATGTAAAAGAGAGAAAGAAGTACAGAGGAAAGGAGAGGAATAGTCTGCTCTATTTTGAGCAGAGCGAGAGAGAGATAGAGATAGAGAGAGATATAGAGCTACATTGTTAAGTGGGGAATAATATCAATTGGTTTCCTATGAGGAGTGGTTTTCTAGCATTACAGCGGAAGCTACCTAAAGCCAATAATAATGGAAAATTCTGTTTTACAGATGTTGCCATATTCATCTTCAATCAAAGGAAGCTTGCACAGTATCTAAGCCCAATTTCGATTTGGCTGGGAAACTCCTGTGCACTCCGCTTTAGGGAAAACCTTTTAGCACCTACCTCTGGCAGGCCGCAGCGAAAATCACAACAAGTTGCGGGCCAAAACCGCACTCTGCATCCATCCCACTGTACACACCGTGTGCAGAGTCCAGTCCCAGTCCCACTGTACACACCGTACACACCGTACACACTGTACACATGCAGGCGGCTTATCAGTGCGAGTGGGCAAACAAAGGATGCGCGTGCGGGGCAGGCAACACCTTCCCTTCTGGATTCCGGGTTTCCAAGGCTCTCGACGGCGGCGGTTCTCTGTCAAGTAGTACGTGCGCAATGAACGATAGTGCAACAGCTAACTAGCTCCCTCGCTCTCCCTTCCCGCTCTCACTCTCTCTCTCTCTCACCGTTATCTCTGATCGTAAAGGATCGCGCGCATGCGCATGCGTATATTTGTTGAAGGAGCAGATAACAAAGAGGTGATAATTGACCGCCCTATTGGCCTTTGCAACCAATTACGATACTTATCAGCGCGCGGCAATCAAATTAAACAGTCCCCGAACAATTCTCGGGCGGTTCAACGCCGGTGGTCCCACTCCCACTCTCCCACTCTCCCTCTCTCTCTCTCCCCCACAATGGATCACTAATCGCTTGCCAGATCGAACGTAAAACGAGAGCAGCGCCGCACGCACACCCATTGCCCAGGTGTGAAAAATACCTAAACCAGGCTCCAGGACGGGGTTTTTGTGTAGGGAGAGTATGGATTGTGTGAATTGTATGCTAAGCAGCCGCATTATCATTTTATCAGTTGTTTGCCTGGTCACCGGCCTGTCCCTGGGCCTGGCGCACCACTGTTTCCTGATCGTGGGCATGCACCAGGAGGGCCACCTCCAGATTCAGTTGCGCAATGTCCTCCTTTAGTTTGACGATCGATTTCTTGATCTGTTGCACCGAACCTGAAATGATAGCGGGATTAATACTCTGCATCGTGTGTGGTTTATGGGCGAGGATTAGAGCTGTGATTCAGATTCAGAATGGATCGCAAATAGTGAGTGTCTTATCAAGCCAGAGATCGGAGCAGATTGAGTGTGAAAAGTAGACGTGTGAAAAAAGGTATGTTGTTTGCTTGAACAGATTCATTACGATATTACGGATACGGATACCACATTGATAGCCCATGAAACTGTCTGTTCTATTTTTGTTCTATTATTTTGGAATTCCTTAAGATTCCTTTCTAAGATATTTCGATCTTTATTTGCTTTTTTTTTTGGCAATGTTCAGCAGCTATTTGTATGTAAATTCTTATGGACTTCCATCACTCTTTCAATATTCAAACTTGGTTCTTTATGGTATTCCCGATATTCTGATACCCCCCCCCCCATACTCACTTCCATCGGACATGACCTGACCGCGTCGCTCCATTTCCTCCTTCTTGAGCTCCTGCTCCAGCATCACCTCATTCAACTGCCCCAACTGCTTCTCGGAGTCCGCCTGCACCTGGTTCTGGGCATACTGAATCGTGGACAGCTCAATGGAGAGCTCCTTGAACTGTTGGATCAGAGGCTGCAGCTCGTTGTTGAGATGCTTCTCGCGGCTCTCCACCTTCTCCAGGCTGAAGGTGAACTCGCTGTGCAGCTTTTTTAGCTGCGCCTGTGTGGTCTCCGAGGACTCGTTTATGCTGCTCTTGAACGCATCCATCTGGCTGATGTGGGTGCGCCAGTCGCGTGCGTCCGACTTCACAAAAACCTTCAGATGGGGAAGCACTCGCTCGAGTTCGAGGCGCCACTCCTGATGGTCGCTGAGGCGGGCGTCGAGCTCTTGGGCCTGCTCGTCCAGAGTAACATCGCCGATGGACCGCTTCTGGGGGCGATTCAGCCAGTTTAGTTGCCTGAAATTGTGCGCCTCCAGCTCCAGGTCACTGTCGTCGCTGAGGCCGGCGGCGTTCTGTTCGTCCTCCAATTTTTCCAGTATGATTTCGGCATTGTCCTCCAGATAGTCGCCCAGGAATTCCTCCTCCTGCATTTTCTGCACCCGCTGATAGCCCACTTTGGCCACTTTGCAGGCCTGCGTGGAGAGGATGTCCAGGACGTTGAGGCAGATGGGTCCTGCACCACGAATCAGCTTGTTGGGTGGAAAGTCCACAGGGACGTCCTGCAAAGAAGCAACGGTTACGGAAAGGGATACTTTTTCAGCTTTTACCCAACTTACAATCTCTTCCAGCATTTGAATGATATTGGCAGCCACCGTATTCGGATCATCGTATTCCTGGGGCCGCTCCATGTCCTTGCCGAGCTTCTTGCAGAGCCACCAGCAGATGAGGGTGAACATGTAGAACTGCTCCCCCGGATTGGTGGCCTTCACAAAGTAGAACCGCGACAGTGGCTTTAGCTTGAACTCTTTCAGCAAATGCTTTTCATAGTTGAGTAACTTCAGTTTCTCCAACAAGTCATCCGACTGAAAGTTCTGCAGTTGTTGGGTTTTCTCCGGACCATCATCTTGCTGCATTTTTGCTCTTAAATGTGGTATACAACTTTTCTTAGGAAAACTTTAATGGAATGAAAATATTTGTTTTGAAATTAGGGTTAGTTTCCATGGTAACCAGGGACCAGCAAACAAAGTGACAGCGCAGGTGCCGAATGGCCTTATACGACGTAACAGAACTTTTGCGAGTATCAGATTTACTTAAAACGGATGATAACTGTGGATTGTTGACCTGCGAATAATTTTGCAAATTTAAAAAAAAGTTTTAAATATGGCGCCTATCTTGTTCCCAATAGATGGAGCCAGTTAACATAACATGCGTCTAACAGCACCTATTAAACATCACGCAAAACTACCGATAGTTTTCTGTTCGCGACATCGGGAATTTCATCGCAGGATGGCTAATTCTTGCGTTGGGAAGTGAGCTCCTATTATTTTTGTATAATTCCAATACCGTTTGTGCGCTATTGTGATTGAGCTGTCAAACGATTGATAGTTGAGCCATCGATAGTTTTGAATGTTTTGAAAAAACAATCGATACTATCGTGCTAGTATCGGGCTCAAATAAGTATTAAAAAACCAGTGAAGCCTTTTAGGAACTTGTCCATTGTAAAAATTAGTTACCACCTGTCGATTTGCTTACAAATTTGTCTTCGTATTTTATAGCAGCCAATCGAGCTACAGTCGATACTATCATGATAGTCGCAAAACTGTCGATATTAGAGGCTAGCATTAAAATATCGATACTATCGATTGTTTAAAAAAAAAAAAAAATAAATAAACACCCCCGAATCGAAAAACGGCAAAATTCATAGAAAAAACAATGGATCTGCAAGTGATAATGCAAAAGATGATGCAGGATTGGAACGGTTACGGCTATGGTAATGGAATGCAGGGCGGACAGCAGCCCTTCGACCAATATCCGCCAAATGGGATATTCGACCAGGCTGCAGCTCCAGACGAACAGGAGGACGAAGACGACGAGGACGATGATGAACAGCGCACGTTGTTCTGTGGCAATCTGGACGAGCGTGTTACCGAGGAGATCCTGTTCGAAGTGTTCCTGCAAGCTGGTCCGATTGAGGGTGTACGCATTCCCTCGGACAACACTGGGCGGCAGCGCAACTTTGGTTTTGTGACCTACCAGCGCATATCTGCGGTTCCGTTTGCATTGGAGTTGTACCAGGGCTTGGAACTGTTTCAGAAAAAGGTAACCATCAAGCAGCAAGGGGCAGACAAGATCAAGCCACCGCCAACATTTGGACAAAATCGTTTGCGGAACCCGTTCATGCACGAGTTGCCCCCTCACGCACCCAACGACCCTGGAGCATTCCGCCACGGTCGTCACAGCTTACACGGTGCTAGACCGTATGACCGCAATGCTGGCGCGAACAGCAAGTACAACATTGGGGACCAGCGTCGCCGCTCCGACAGCGCCGTTATGGATCGCAATCGGCCAAGGGCGCATCCGCATCCACCGCCGCAGCATCCGCATCCTCAGCAGCACCATCAGCACGACAGACGTTTGGATCAGCGCAGCAATAACAAGCGCCGAATGCTCTGACGGTATACGTACAAAGCAATCCGATTCAGTTAAAGATAACAATGTTTTTATTAGTCTTTAAGTATTGCTTAAGAACATCTAGATAGAAACTTTTGTATGTATCATCGTAAAGCAGATCACACTACACACATTCATCAATGAAATTCGCATTCCCCTGGAATGTGCCTTTGCCTTTGTATAAATAGAGCTAAGCTGTACAGATGACAGATGCAGATGCTGAGTGTTTACTAACGTGCTATGCTCCGGAGCGTCTTCTCCACATTCCTATACGTGCGCGGTGGTATTACTTCCAGCAAGAGTCGCTGGTAACTGCTGTGCTCGGACAGGGCGCGGAACAGGGACTTGGCATAGCTGCGAGTTTCCAGGCTTCCCTCAAGCAGCAGATTGGCGCCCACCACAAAGAACTTATCGCGATTGTCACGGCCCATGGCATATATGCGATCACTGCCTAGTCGCTCCACGAGTCGGAACAACAGCTTGGCCGTGGAAGTACGAACCAGAGCGTTCTGGTGCTGAGCACCCTTGGTTGCAAGTATATTTAGCACCTTTACTGGCTGGGCGTGATCCACCATCGACTCCAAGGCGTGCGTTGCGTCCGCACGTATAAAGCGATTCGTGTCTGCGGTTCGATGCAAAAGCGCACACACGAGATCATCACATTCCTGCTCCAGGTACTTGGACTTTAAGCTGAACAATTCGGCGGCGGCTTGACAGGAGGCGCGAGCCACCTGAGAGCGCAAGTTCCGGACAGAGCGGGTGAGTTGTATGCAGGTCATGTGCATGTGGCTGTCCAGAAACTCGGCATGGCAGCGTATCAGCCGTACCATGCCCTTCAAGCCGACTATGTTCAGCTCCCAGTTGCTGGAGTCTAGCTGGTCAAAGGTCTTGAGCAGGGCCTCGCGAGGCTTCTCGAAGCGCGACATGTTTTGGGGGAACAGCTCCGCCTGCGATATCTTGATGGCCTGCTTCACCGGAGAGACACGCCGTTGCCCGCGCAGAAAATATGACGTCTTTGACTTTTGCTTGAGCGGCGTGTGCTTGGTCTTCCCTCTGGCGTTGACAATGACATTGATGTTCCCTATTTGCGAACCAGACTGCGACGACGCATTGTCAGTGGTACTTGTACTGGTGTTATCCAGAGATCCTTGCTTCGAGGCAGGGCGTGCTCCACCGTAAAGCGACTCTAGGGAAATGCTGCGGGGCTGTATAGCCAGGTTATCCTGCAAAGGTCGCGATCTTGAGCTAGAGCAACCGCTGGTATGATTCGCGGTTGTTGAAATTTCGCTTTCCGCCAGCTGGCCCTCCAGTTGCTTAAAAGGCGAAGACTCAGTGGGTGACGCCTCCAGCTCGTGCTGAACTTCTTCCACCACCACGAAACTGTTGCTGCCCTCAATGTCTTCTTCAATGGGCAGCGACTTGGTCGATTGGGCCCTCGAAAGCTGCGGGGATGCGTCTTCCAGCTGTGTCTTGATGCTTTCTGTTTTACTGTGGAGGCTGTTGACACTCTCGTTACGTTTCAGAGTGTCCTCATGGCGCATGGCATGGTGTTCTGCTTCTTCCTCAATGTCTGTAAATATATTTAGGATTTATGTATTATGTATGGCTAATGGGTTAATAAGTAGTCGTACTTGATACAATGTCATCCACTACGAGCTCTCCAAAGGACTCCACCGCGTTGCGCTCCAGACTCAGGACTTCCAATTTTGTATCAACGCTGTCGCCACTCCTAGCCGGACTTGTTGGTCGTCTCTCCTTCTCGCAGTTACAGTTGCTGTTACTGTTACTCGACTTGGCCGAGGCTGTGGACTTTTGTGAGTAGCTTGTGGACTTCACGGATAGCGGGGACCCGTCCGTAGTTTCTTTGTCCGCTTGCGACCCTGTGGCCGATGACCGAGCTGTTTCCGGATCCGCTCCAGTGCGAACGCTTGTACTGGGAGAGATAATATTCGGTTTTAGAGTGGGATTTAATATGTAGATTATGGAATAACTTTTGAAATGTGTCAGGTCAGAGACTTACAACTCCTTGAACGGGAGCACAGCATACGAATTGTTTTTTTCACCATCTGCCGGTGCCTGAAACACTTCCCAGGTCGACTTATCATCGACATGTTCGCTCTGTATCTCTGCATCAATTTGCATCGATTTTCTGAACTCTTGACGTTTGGTGTCCACCGCCGCCGTGTCCGTGCAGCAGGTGCCGCAAAGCTGACGGTTGCAAATAGCCCCGCACAGTGTTGAATGCGCCTCAATGGCCCTTTGGCGAATGTACGCCCAGCCGGAGTGGAGGAGAGTGCGTGTCCGACGCAGTAGATTGGACGGCTGACCGCCGCAGGAAAATACATTCTGCATTTTGGGGAATGCCACCACACCAACTACCTCAACCTCAACTACAATATTCTCCTGGCAAGGCCCATTGGGGACCAGCGCAGAGCGAGGACAATTAACGCCAAGACAGTCGAGTCAACTACTTCCAGCAACACCACTGTGCAGACTGTTTGCAGTGTTCGTCCGAAGGCGCTTTGACCATTTCGACCATCGTCTTCTGCCCCCACGTACTTTGTGTATTTCCCCTACCAGGAATCCACAACAAAGCCAGAGTTGCAAATGGAAAACAGGACATTGCGTTTTCCAAGTACTCGTATTCACACGAATACTCACAAACAAAAGGTGGGCCTCCCCATCCCCACCCCCCACCCAGTGCACCCAAAAGCCAAAGGAAAAGCCACGCAAAAGGTCGCAGGATGGTCTAAAGTGGTAACTAGCGACGAACTTCCAGACGAGCTAGCCATGGGCATGGGTCTGGCCAGGCGGTCGCTGTATTCACAGTTGGACACTTCATTCTGGTTTGTAGACAAGCGAGCGAGCGAACGAGCGAGCGAGCGCCTTCGCCTTCTTAGTCATCTTCGGGTACCTTCGTTTCTCTATGGGGCCAGCTGCTGCTTCTACCCGAAGTCTGCCGTGTAGCTATGAGTGTGGGATGTAGGTACGAGTATGTATGTATCTGTAGAGGTGACATTTTCACCAATATTTCTCCGAAATAGATCGGAATATATGCATACTACTTACATACTTACATACATACGAGTATGTACATATTCTATGCACAGTTCTAAGCAAAGTTTCTATACGTAGGGCCAATAAATTGTATTACTCCTTGCTCTGCTCTGGAATTTTGCCTTCGAAGTCATAGCCTAACAAAGGAAAATTGATTTTCTTGGGAGGGCAGATGCCTCCAGTGCCCAGTGCCCAGTGTCCAGAGCTCGACAGTGGTCACTTAAAGGTTTCTCAGATTCCCCACATTCCCCAAGCCACAGCCTTAAATTTCACCAACGCGCGTCCTACTGCGCATTTCAATTATTTAGGTTGAGTGGCGCGACACCTTTAAGACCTTTAAGGGTCCTTTTTTGCTGTGCCTCAGGTACGGGTGCGGGTGCGGGTGCGGGTGCGTGTACCGAGTGCCAGGTGAGGCGCGACCGCTAAATTCGCCGACAAAAACTGCGGTTAATGGTTAACCCGCTTGGGGCTCGGAGCAGAGCTCGATACTATATCAGAGTTGGGCATTTAAAAATGTAGGTTAACATTCGTCAACGGATATGGGCATTGGCATGGGTAGACGGTTGTGGTTTTTGGCTGTATACAGCTGACCAGCAAAGCTAGTATGTGTGTGTGTGTGTGTGTGTGTGTGGGGGTTTGATTCCGGTTAATTAAGATATTGAAGGCAGAACTTACTCTGATTTTGCGGCGCCGGCGCACTCCCTGCCCAACGTGTGTGCCGATTGCAGATTATCTATGGAAAAGCTTCGCTGTTTCTTGTGTATTTCATTTGGTTTGAGCATTTCTCCATCTACAGAGTCTGGATATGAGAAGAGTTCAAAAAGGGCTTGGCTTTGATATGTGTTCCTTGCCTTGTGCTTGGCCGGAGTGTCGTGTCCTAGTGCTTTGCTGCGTAAGCGTGAAGGAGTGTTGGTGCTGCAGCTTCTTGCGCTTCATCTGGGTCTGGTGCGGCTTGGGGTTCGTATAGCTGACTTTGGGATATGCCTGACCATCCATTGTGTAGGATGTGGTGGATCTCTGCATGCTGCGCATGAAATTGTTCACAAAGTCCGTATGTTGGTTCATGGCGGGAAATCTTTAAGAAATTTGAACTTGCATTAATTTTAATGGAACTCTGTGCTCCGTGCAAGCTACCTTGAGCTGGGTCCTGCAAAATGACTCCCAGTGCGCGAGGTTAGCTGTATGAAACTGCCAGTGCTGCCACTGCTGCAAGTGGTTGCCGTGCTGTCAGTGCTTCGGCCATCCATCGAAGTATCTGAGCACGTTTTGCCCACCATGCGACGGTCCATAAGGTTGCCTTCAGTGGGCGGGGAGACATTACTTGGGAACATTGCCATGCAGATAATATTGAGCACTTACCATGCATTGTCCTAGCACCAAAACTTAATCGCTGAGAAAAGTCCTGCGGGAGAGAACGTTTAGGTTTTTGGTATGGGATAAACGGAGACTGGAACTCACATTGGGGCTAGTCATGTCCAGGGTCTCTGGAGGAGAGTGGAAGGAATGTCGGTGCAGGTTCTCATTGACGTGACTGAAACTGAAAGTAAAAGTAAAAGTAAGAGTAAAAGCATCTGCCTCTGAGTATGAGTGCCTCACCTGTGGAGTGTCTGTGTCCTGTCCTTTGGCTCTGTGCTTTCCTGGACGCCGCCACGCTGTCTGCTGGCAGCACGCATGCGTCGCCTCTTGATGGCATTTGGTGAGGCTGAGCCGTCGCCCTGGTTTATCCAGTCAACATCTGCACCACGCCTGTTGCCGGGCGTGTCAATTTGGTTGAACACAAACAAGACGGAACTGTCCGGCGTTATAATGGGCAACTGCAGGCGGGACAGACGCATTCGCGCAGCCTCGAGCATGGGCGGACCGAGCTCCACGCCCGCTGCCATTTCGGCAACGATTGCCAGAACCTGCTTCACAGATGAGATGTCAGCCAGGACGGCCAGGACCTCCAGGGCTGCCTGGCGCACGCGTCGCTTGCGATTCAGCGAGGAGTATATTGTCTGTGCCGTCAGCAGGTTGATGTCGAAGCAGGTGCCAGGAAAGGTCATCAGCGCGAATATGGACATTTGGAGGGCATGATCCCGGAACTGAAAGCAAATACACGGGCAGTTATTTAATGTCGAACGTGGAACGTGTCTCAGGGACTTACCTTCGAGCTCTTGGCATGCATGAACTCCGGCGCAGTAAGTCTGGCCACAATGGTGCCCGCTGGCAGGCGCTGCATCAGTGCCTTGCACACTCGATTGGCTCCGGCTGTGCCCTGGCGACACAGCCCCGTTAGAATCTGCAGAGTGCGCTCCTCCAAGTTGTCCAGCGGAAGGCGTGTGATCAGGTTTACCAGCAATTCCCGCTTGAGTTCGGCCACCTCAAAGTGTCGCTCCGAGGAGAGTAATGTTCGCAGCAAGCTGTCCAAGTACGGCTGCACCTGAGCCAGGTTGCTCGACGAGCTCAGGGCGAGCTCCAGGTGAGAGAAGCCCTGCAAGCGATGGCGCCAGTCCTGTGCACGAAAAGAAAGAACAGAACGCTGGTCAAACCATCGGCACGGCATATACATTTGTACGAGTATGTGGCAAGTGTTTTATTTCGCAAACTAGATATGTCCATGCAATGCAAATACTTCCCAAAAGTGTCCACTGGCCACAGGAGAGTGGAAAGTGGAAAGTGGAGAGTGGAGATGATTCCAAGCACTGCCTATGGCCATGCCATTTGTGGAGTCCTCGACTAGGCGACTTGTCTTACCTGTTTTGTATTTGGTACGCGCTATAATTTCGGTTAATGTTTTTTATATTTGTTGTGCTCGGACTGACCCACTTCCTGGCACGCTCTGCACCGGCCCCCCTCCCCTGCCACCAGCCGGCGTCTTCATCCAAACAGCGTTCCGTAATGTTGGTCTTACTATTTTATCGTCGCATTTGCAAGCTGGGTGTGAGTGATTGTTCTCCCACTTTGTTCTTGTTTTGGTTTTTGTTCCGGCAGGCTGGCTATGAATATCGCGTGCACTTAAATGATTGACCGGCCAGCTACGCTGCTGCAACTGCCGGAGGAGGACTCTTCTGGCACTATGCAGCCAAGCCCAAGAACTACAGCTGCAGCTGCTGCTGCAGAGAACCAAACGAATCCAGCACCCATTCCGCCGCATAACATGCAACTGTTTGTTACCGGAATCCCCAAGTTCTTTTTTGCTGTTCACCACTCAAAAAGTTCGGCTTGATAAGGGGGACATCTCAGAATGCCAGAAAGTTCCAGAATGATTTCCACAGAGTATGTCCAACTTTAAACTGCTGACGCACATTGACGTTAACATTTTTACAATACTCAAGGGGCTTTCCCCATGAGAATCGTGAATAACGTGGTACTTGATACAAAGTGGCAAAGTAAAAATTTGAAAAGTCTACTTTCTGCTTGGGGGGGTCTCCCTGAAAGACTTGCCCCAAAAGTGCTCACGAAAAATACATCAAACAAATAATTTTTGCTGCTTTGAAATGTATACGTCAAAAATTAATAGGTCATTGATACAGGGGCTCGCTTCGACACCAGAGCCACGGTCCGCATTGTTTTCCATCGTCATCGATATGAGTGCGCAGGGGGATGGGCAGGGGGTAGGGGCAGGGGCAGGTGGAGAAAAGGGGGGGGGAGCGCTTATCGCTGAAATTTTCATTAGCAAGCAAGGGGTCACAGGGAGTCACCGGTGCCGTTGCCGGCAATGCGAGTACGAGTACGGGTATAATAGCAATATTACTACTATACTCGTAATGGCGACTACGCTTTGGAGGTGGTTGGTTGGAGGTGGAGTGATGCGTGTCTCGTACGTAATAAAGCCAGGCGGCTGCCATTATGAAGGCAGAATTATGAACGCATATGAAATTGTACATATCCTAGTAACCCAGTTAGAAAGGGAAAAGAGTAGGGCGGCCCGGCCCGGTCCCGGGCCGCGACAGGCTGCGTTGGGGTAGCGTGTGGTATAATTTCATTTCTTCACTTTTGGAAGGGATATTTTGTGAGAGGAGTGCAGGAGCAATTACCCGGAGCATGCTAAATTTTTGGACAATAACTCGACTGCAATTATGGGGATGTGGCACAAGCAGTGCCACTGGCACCGGCAACCTATTTTCTGGATCAAAACTGCCCGCTAGATTAATGGACACAATTTCGCAACTTACCCCAGATCTAAGGTCCATTAGAGTTTTGTAGTTGACAATATCCAGGTCCTCCCAGGACTTTGGTGTGGTTGGGGACTCTGCCGACATGATGGAGGTGGTACGTGCTCTCCTGGATTGAGTCGGGGAGGGTGATGGCGATGCCCCAACGGACTCGGCCAGGCGCTGAGATCGCGGCGAGGGATCCCGCTGAAGATTGTGCAGCACCTCGATCTGTTTGTGCGGCACCTTGGGACTGATATTGTTGCTTCCAGCCGGACTCGTGCTGCGACTACGGAACAGGGGCGAGTGCGGCGGCGGAGTCAATCTCGATTCCCCTTCCTGACGTTTGGGACTGGGACCTGGCGGCGCCGGATCGGCTTGCACGTTGCTCTGTGGACGCACCGACTGAGAGCTAAATGGGCGAGGCAATGGCTTGGTATTATCATTGGGTATTTCCACGACCAGGGCCGATGTCTTGCTGTCGCCGGTGGCACTTGGTATGCCCATCCCGACAGCTTCATCCTCTGTCGGCGTTTGCAGAGGAGACCCCGAGGAGTCATCTAGCGCTATTATAGTGGGGCCCTGCATGGACTGAGCTGTGCGCTTGGAATTGTATGAGGAAATGGCCGCATCGCTGTCGGGAGTGCGCATTTTCACTATTTCTCCGCCAAAGGTCACTCGCTTCAGGCCACGAGAGGGCGTGTTGGGCTCCGACTTGTTCTCAGATCCGGCAGTACGGGGAGGCTCGTCCAATTCAGAGTCGCTGATAACTTGGACTATTCCCGCGCCCTCCCTCAGATCCTGATGGGACTTCGACTTCGCCATCGCCTTCGCACTACCCACCAGGGCGCGGCAAACAAGCTCCGTTGGTTCGATATCCTTGGCGTATACCCGGGCTGGACTGTCGGACTCTTCTGTCTCGGTATCCGCCTCGAGCAGCCGCATGGTAACAGTGTCGTCATTGATTTGGATCTCCGTCTCCATGATGACCTTCCCTTTGTCGGAACAGCTTGCTTGGTGGTCCGAGGGGTGGCTACTGCTCCGCCAGCTCTGTTCCCGCGGCAGAGCTCGCCACGCTCCCGTCTTCCCGACATCTCCCACGCGATTCAGATTCGTCTTTTCGGAGACTCCATACACCTGACACAGCTGATAGTACTTGGACAGGGTGGTGTGGCCGCCCACCGTGTTCATAATAGCTTCGAATTCGTGGACTCCCAAGAGCTCTCGCATTTTCGACAAGACCTTCAGCGTGATCTCCTGCTGGGCCAGTTGGTCCAGGTGCTGAACGACACGCTGCAAGGCTTGCTGCACTATGAAGTGCCGCTGGGGGGTGTGCAAAATCGATTGGAGTATTGCGGGAAGTGACAGCAAGACGCCGCAGCTAAGTCGGCCGTGGTCAGACTCCAGGGGAGTCAGGCCAGTGTCGAGTATCTTGAGTACGACCGATTCCGGTACAGCTGTTTCGGCCAGATAGACGCGCAGGCAGTCGAGGGCTCCCTTGCGAACAGTCGGCGCCTGGTGGCCCAGGTTCTCGACCAGCAGGCCGATCAGCTGGTGCTCCTCCATGTGATTGTCGGCCCTGTCTTGCATCACCACAAGGACGTCGACGAGAACTCGCAGGGCGTGCTGGCGCACCTGCCACTCTGGATCCTGTAGGCGTTCGTGGAACTCTGCATACATGGCGTTGGGGCAAATTGTTTCCGGCAGGCGGCGAGTGCGAAGAATATGCTCCCACAGCGGCGTCAATTGCACTGCACCCATCTGAGGCGGAGCCTCTGTTCGTCGCTGCATTTTCGTCTGGGTGCCCCCAGCCCCCACGCTGGCTGACTGGTTGTTATTCTTGTCCTTGACTTCGCTGCTCGTTGTACCACTCACGTAAGTGACACTCTCGCTGTCCTCGCTGTTGTAGTCATTCAACGGAGTGCGAGTACGAGTGCCAGTGCCAGTGCCAGTGGCAGTGCTATTGGCCGCTGCTGACGTTGCCGTGGTCGCTATAGGGAGCGGCACATTGTTACTGCTACTGTCTTTGCGCTCCAAGATACGTCGAAAGAACATGCTGGTCGGTCCTTGGGACTCACTTTTCTGACTGCAATTATCTCACTGACTGACTAACTGCCGTTGGTCGGTCCGTCGGTCGGTCGTCGGTCTATTCACTTGCTTTTAATTTTTAATTGTCACGCACGCTTGCATCCGGTCCGAAATGTCCCATGACTAGTTCCACCTTCTCTTCATTTTTCATTTTCTGTTTCTGTTCATTTCTAACTTTTGGGCACAACAGCAACTTTCAGCTCGCTAGCAACGACTGAGGATATATTACTGTTTGCTGACTGCTTTTGTAGCCAACGCTAGAATTTTGACACTGGGAGCCCTAGCCAGAAAGCAGTGAGAACCGATCGACTGCGCATGTCGCCGAAGCGTTGCTCTTCGGCTCGAATAACCGCTCTGCTGCAACAGATAGTTTGCTACCACCACCACCACTACATTGCACTGCAGACCCCTGGCTATGACATTTTGGAATATCACAGGAATATGGATACAAAATTTGGTTGCTCGAGCCAATAACCATACCGTATATAGATGTGCCACTTCATACAACGAAAGTGGCTCACCTGAGTTTTCAGCGTACGTTCCCAGGTCTTCGGCTCTGGGGCCGATCGTGTTCGGCTCTGGGATTGACCGCGTTCGGCTCATGACGTGACACGAGCCGACAGACAGCAAGCATGTACATACGTGTGTACGTTTAACACTCCAAAATATATGATTGTATGCATAGAATAGTTTTTAGCATGCCGAAACCGATTTTGCTTGAGTTAATAAATACAATATATAAAAATAAAAAATGTTTTTATTTGTTATTTGTTTGATTTATTTGAAATTGCACATTTACATATACATACATATCCCTAATTAAGACAGGTTTCTTTTATAAATTACATATTGTGCAAATGCCGTTGAAAAGGTTGATAGTACCTTCGTCAGTTGTCGCTTTGGAGTTAAGCGGCAGGGTATTCTGGCTATGTGGTCTTGTATTCTGATTTGGAGCATTTTGAGTATTCACTTCTAGGTGTGCCAGCAGCAGCCAGCATTCTACTCTATAACGGAAGAAAAAAAAGGAAGCGAAAAAACTCTTTAAAACGCGTAATTTTCGTTTGAATTGTTCAATTTGTAAACAATAACAAAGCTACGCATTGCTTTTAGCTAATTGCATTCTAGTTTTTACATTTTTCCCTTTATTTTACTTTTTTGTATCGTTTTTCGTGCTTGTCAGCGATAAATTATACGTCCCCTTTTGTCAGGAGAATTATTTCGTTTCATATCAGTCAGCTTTTGTCAGCGAGCAATTATAATTTTTCGTTTCATATCAGTCAGCTATTGTCAGCGAGCAATTATAAGTTTTCGTTTCATATCAGTCAGCTATTGTCAGCGAGCAATTATAAGTTTTCGTTTAATATCAGTCAGCTTTTGTCAGCGAGCAATTATAATTTTTTCGTTTCAGATAAGTCAGCTTTTGTCAGCAAGGAATTACAAATTTTCGTTATATATAAGTCAGCTTTTGTCAGCGAGCCATTCGAATTTTACGTTTCGTATCAGTCAGCTTTTGTCAGCGAGCAAATTTAATTTATCGTTTCATATCAGTCAGCTTTTGTCAGCAAGCAATTAGAAGTTTCCGTTTCATATCATTCAGCTTTTGTCAGCGAGCAATTAGAATTTTGCGCTTCATATCAGTCAGCTTTTGTCAGCGAGCAACTCGAATTTTTCGTTGCATGTCAGTCAGCTTTTTTCAATGAGCAATAAAAACATTTTTTTTGGGTTTTTTAACATTTTATTACATTTTTATATTTATTTTACATTTTTCCAAAATTTTTAAATTTTTCATAAATTTTAAAATTTCATTTTGCCCCCCGTAAAGTATCGACACTAACCATACATATTGTATTTATTTCCCACCCCAACCCACTTTTCCCATTCCTCATTCCTCATTTATGTTGCGACAGGTCATCTCAGGTTGCTACATCAGCCCCCAAAACAAAACGAAAAACCACTTTCGGTTCAAGCGGCCAAACATTGTAGAACCCACACAAGCACAGTGTGTAAGAATACATGGCACACACACATTTACGTAAGCTGAAATCTCAAGAATCTCTCTGACATCTATTTACTGTATAATTAGTGCTCGAGCTTTTATAGTCTCTGATGATATGAAAAACCGACGAACTAATTTTTGAAAAATGTATACTTAACCAAAAAAACTAAACTAAAAACTAAAAAAAAATTGTGTACTTTTATTTACTAAACAGAATTAGGGGTGTCCGCCTAAGGTCACGTCTAATGTAAATACATACGTACAGGATACTTTATGGTTTTGGAAACGATTCCTCTGGCTGTTCCTGGATGGCGAGAGTCCGGGCATTAAAATCTCGATTACGAAAATTCGATTATTTTTCTTGGCAAATTTAATGATGTAACACATCAGAACGGTCCTGTAGCAGGACCAAGTGAGTTATGGTAGGGGGGATTTCCCCTCTCTCCAACTCCGCCTTAACCTAACCTAATGATGTAACACACCATCAGAGTTATAGCGAAAATCATCCAAAAATATCCTAATCCAGGGATATCATAGCCAAGGATCAACTCTTCCATGATCGTGAGGAAGTTTTCTTTGCAATTGTAGCAGTGTTTGCAACAGCCTCGGCGGGCCCATCGAAAGTTTCAAACAGTTTACAGCATTTCAGAATATTTATGCTAGTGTTTTTTTTTAGGTATTTATTAACATTTTACTACGTAAGTAATTAAAATACCAATTTTACATGTACATGATCAAATGTAAGAGTATTGTATGTCTAGAGGAATGCGAAGTATTTCTGAATGTCATTGTCTATGGCTACGACTAAGGCGGTTAGGGGAAGTGTCGGTCGGAGTAAGGTGAAGTGGGTAGTGGGTGTCAATAAGTTAGAGCAATGTTTATAATGTAATGTACTTAAATGGCAATAAATATCAATACAAGCAGTAGCTACTGGAACTAATTTAATATAGCACACAGAAAACATATACACAAGTAAGGAAAGTAATTATCAATTAAATGATCCAATTTTTCTTTTTGCGGCTTCCTCAACATATATGTACATACACACTACAATATGTACATATGCATATAGATCAGTCAAAAACCTTAATGGAAGTTTACTTAGGATGGTTTGGCCTTGATACAAGGCGTTCAATTTGCAACTAGTCTCTAAATTAATACAAGGCATAAGATCTACGGATCTACAGATCTACGAAATTAAAAGCTACTTAAGTATCTTCGTTACGTTTTCGTTGTACATTGCGAAATGGAATGGCAATACTTAACACCTACTTAGAGGGATGGGTGAGGGGTGAGGAGTGGCAATTTTACACACAATTTACACATTAATTTCTGCCTTGCATTCCTTGCTTGTACTGGTTGCTGGCTAGCTGGCTAGCTGGCTGGTCGGTCTAAACGTACTCCTCTGGTGCTGCCTGGCCATTCGAGGGCATTCGCAGAGTGGACACGGACTGTGGCTGCTGCTGTTGTTGCTGCTGCTGTTGCTGCTGCTGCGTGCCCGTCGTATCGGGCAGCTCTGCGATATCCTTGAACACGCCCATCAGATTCTCATAGCTTGGCCCCCAGTTTAGCAGGTACTCCCAGCCCAGTGTTGTGGCGGATGGGGAGGCGGCGCCGTTCGCTTTGCGATAAATGCCGCTCAGGTGGTTGGCAATGTCGTCGTCACTGGCCACGAGAGTGCTGAGCGAGCCGCGGAACGAGGATTCGAAGCCATCGTATGGGTGCGGCGGTATGGGCGGGGTTTTCACGACACTCGGATTCCGGGTGGGCTCACCGCTGAGCGCTCGAGCGACAGGACTGCGGCCATCCAAGAGGCTCTTGCTGGTCGAGTACTTCCCATCCCCACTCAAGCTGTTGTTGTCGTACTCGATCTCGGAGCAGGTGAAACTGTCGTTGCCGCTCTCATCGGTCGAAGTTGAGCTGTGGGCATCCACGTCAGTGTTGTGCATGCCACCGCCCAAGGACATGTGCAGGGCGCTGCTGGGCACTCGTGGCGCCTCGCTACTGGAGGACACAGCGTCGAGTGTGGAGACGAGGCTGCAGGTTCTCGGACGGGCATTAAGGCGTTCGATCTCCTCGGCCGTCAGACCCATCGAGGTTTGTGGGGGCGCCTGCTGCGGCACGCCCGGCTTCTGCCGGCTGGCACTGGAGCTCTGCCCAGAGAGTTGCGACATCACGGGGCTGTTCAGGCTGCGCTCACTGTTGCTGTGCAGGGCATCCTTGCCCACGCCGCCAGAGCTGGAGGTGGTGGCCAGCAGCGCGCTCTGCAGCGGCTTGCCCGAAATGTCGTGCAGCGTCAGAATGCGCGGCTGCTGGGAACTCAGCTCCGAGCTGGGCGAGAGACGCGCCAGCGGTGTGCTCTGATGGGTGCGAGAGGCACTGTTCGGCGGCGGCGGCTGTCCGCCCTGGTTGCGGGACACGAACGGAGCGTTGACGGCGTGTCGTGGCGAGTGCCGATGCTGCTGCTGGCTGGCGGCGCTTTGGTGCTTGTGGTGGGTGTAGGCGGCCACCGGCGGAGAGGTGGCCTTGTACTTGCGCATGCCACCCGCCTCGCGGTAGCCCTTGTAGTGGTACACAATGTCAATGTCCGAGGGAGCGATGGAGCTGGCGTTCTCCAGGTCGTAGTGTTCCGGGTATTCGGAGCCCATGTCCACGGAGCTGCCGTGGTCGAGCGGATGCATTGAATTCGGCGGCGGTATGGACAGATGGTGCTCCTCCCTGATAAGGGGACTCTTGCCCACGACCTCCCGTTCTATGATGTCCGGTCGCTGCGGACGCTGCTGTGGCTGTGGCAGCTCTGCCGTGGGTGTCAGTTCGCTGCGTTCCTTGAACTTCTTGGTGAGGAGCTCCGGGCCCACCAGATGGTGGGTGGGTGGGCGCAGGTGCTCGCTGGCTCCCACCGGTGGAGCGGGGGCTTCGTTGGGGTGCAGGCCTCGTGCCAGCACGTGATCCACTTGACTCTGCGGCACTGGTGGCCCGCCCAACACTCCGCCAGGGTGTTTGATTTTGAAGCCCGGCACGCCGCAGCTGAGGCTGCCAATCTTCTCCTGCTTGCCACGGAATCGGTATATCACGTACGATCCCAGGATGGCGACCACCAGAATGACGAAGAACACGATCACCAGAGTGATGCCGATGCTCAGTGGGTCCGCCACTTGGGCCGCATCCACGCCAATGTCCCCGCTGCAGCCGAGCTCCACTTTTCCGTGATGCCGCACCTCGGGAAAGATGCTGCCGGACCCGTTCAGTGGCTGCAGCTCGTGATTGATGGTGAAGTTTGCCACGCAACCGACAAACACTTCGGCCTGCTGCTCACTGGGCGCTCCGCCCACAGTCAGTGTGGTTAGGTACGGGTCCAGGAAGTCGTGCACACCGGCAATGTCGAGCTCGTCGCCCACCTGATGGCCGTCGATGAACAGCTGCAGACTGCGACTCTCGCTGTGCAGACTCACGTTGTGCCACCGGCCATCGTGCAGCGTCGCTGGCTCCTGCACCGTCATGTTGATGGTCAGTTGTTGCTTGGAGAAGTAGACGAGTCTTCCCTCCTGCAGCGACAGCGAAGTGAACATCTGATTGGTGGCCGAATACAGGAGCAGTCCTTGCGCCTTGTAAGTGCGGAAGAGCAGACTGAGTACCTTGGGCGCTTCGTATATCTGGGATGCTGCCGAGATGCTAATGTTCTTCCTGGAGCTGGCACTGGCACTGGCACTGACACTGACGGTTTGGCGTCTTTCGCGTGTGCTAATGTCCGACCAAGCGTCCTTGCTGTTGTACAGGTTGTCCAGCAGCTGCATGCGACGATGCAGCTCGGAGATTCTGAACTCAAGGAAGGCCCCGCCGCTCAGGGTGACTGGCTCCAGGGAGTCGGAGCAGTCGGGCGATTGCAGGTGCCCGCCGCATTGGCACAACGAGCTCGACCAGCGGTCTATACACTGCCCGGCGAACCCTCCGCAGCGCTCTGCCGCCAAGGAAGGCTGACACGCCTGCCGATTGCATCCGGGCAGAATGCCCCTCTTTTGGAGCGGTGTGCTCAGGTTCAGCGAGCGTCCGGCGATGTGCACGCTGTGCAGGCAGCCCACCAGATCATCGCTGTGCACTTGGCCAGGCCGCTCGAGGATGGGATCCGCAGAGGCCAAGCCACCGATCAGCAGCGGTTGCTTGTTAAAGTTGAGTGTGCTGTGGGGGAGGGGGAAGGGCATACATATTATACATATATATAGAGATGTAATGTATCAGTACTCACCCCACTGGACCCACTTCGTCCGCATAGCAGCTGGAGTCACCCGGAGTGCACTCGGCACACACGTCCCCAGAGTCCGCACACTTGGCCACGCTCAGCGACATGACCCGTCCGTTGCGTGTGGCCGTAACCTTGTGCCAGCTTCCATCGGCCAGATTGCGGCCGGCTATCACGGTGCTGATGGCCGTTCGGGCCCCGCCCGACGAGAAGTAGGCCTGGCCCTGCACCAGCTCAATGGCCAGGAAGTCCGAGCGGCCGCCACTGTGCATGCCGTAGTTGTAGAGCAGCAGGGAGTTGGGCTTTGTGGTGGCAAACACAATGGATATGTCGTTGGTGGTCACGTCCAGGGCGGGGAAGGTCATGAAGGAGAGCGGCTCGAAGCCGTAGCTGAAGCGCTCGCAGTGTCGCCCGTAGCGACCCGAGGTGCAGCTGCACTTGTATCCCGGCTTAAGGTTGACGCACAGGCCGCCGTGCAGGCAGGGATTGGGTCGGCAGGAGTCCGAGACGCTCTCGCACTGGTTGCCCCGGAATCCCGGCCGGCAGAGGCAAAAGTACGACGATCCATCGGGGCTGCGTTGGCAGCTGCCTCCGTTGCGGCAGGGCTTGCTCCAGCACACGTCGCTGCGCTCCCGCTGGCACTGCTTGCCATCCCGGTTCGCTGGACAGACGCACTGGAAGTCGGTGCCGATGCGCCGGCACTGGGCCTGCAGCTGGCAGGGATTGGGCAGACAGGGGTCCTGCCGCCGGTTGCACTGTTCCCCGGAGAATCCATTGGTGCACTGGCAGCTGTAGTCATGCACGATGCGTGGCCCACTCAAGACGAGCGTCGGACTGTCCACGCTGGCGTAGCTGTGGGTGTCCAGCAGTCGGATGGCGGCACTGCATACGCCTCCATTCTCACACACTTCGGGCTCGCTGCACGGCTCGTAGCCAATGACCACCTCCTTCTGCAGCAGCTCGGACAGAGCGGCTCGCTTCTCCCGGAGACGCTCAATCACGTGGCGCGGCTGCTGGTAGCTGCGCTTGGCGGTGCGCACGGCCAGCAGCACCTCCAGGCTGCTGGCATTCCCCCCGTTTCCCAGGAGGCTGTACAGGAAGAGCTCATCGTCGCTGGCCAAGCGGGCCTTGAGCATATCCACAACGGAGCGATAGTGCTGCGCCAGGAACTGCGTCGCTGTCATGTTCCGCACCAGGACGGACACCGTGTGGGCAAGTGTCTCATTGTTGAAGCTGTGGAAGTCGACGGTCAGCTTGGAGGTGACATCGCTGTGCTTGCCATCGTTGCCCGTGTAGCTGTAGGCGTAGGCTGTGGGCGTGGTGTGCGCCGTGGTGTACAGGTCGCAGCCTCGGGGTATGGTCAGCTGCAGCTGTCCGTGGGACTGAGTCTGCAAGCGGCAGCGATAGTCGCCGACAATATCCACGTCATTCGGATGGATGTCGGCCAGTTTCAGGTGCGCGGGCAGGTCTCCGTTGAAGATGCTGACGGCCACGTGCAGGTTGCGTGGCGTCGATGGATTGTCGTTCTGGTCGAGCACGGTGATTGTGAGCGTGTGCTGGGCCCGCTGCCTCGGCTTGCCGCTGTCCTCCACCTCAATCACCGCCTCCAGGGTGGGCGTGATCTCGCGATCGAAGCTGGCCGTGGACTTCACCAGGCCGGAGATTTTGTCCACACTCAGCCAGGATTTGTGCTTGCCCGCCACCAGCTGATAGCTGAAGGGTCCGCCGTTGCGCGGCAGATCCGGATCGGTCGCCGACAGTGTCATGATCGATGTACCTGGGGCTTCGTTCTCGGAGACGTAGCCGAGTAGACCTTCGGGCGCGAACACCGGACCATTGTCATTGACGTCATCCAGATCTATGCGGACTGTGGCGCTGCCCGTTTGGGGCGGCAGGCCGGTGTCGATGGCCCCAATCACCAGGCTGTAGTGGGCGATATCCTCGCGATCCAGCCGCGCAGCCGTGCTTATCTCCCCGCTCTGGACATCGATTTTGAAGCCCTGCTTCAGGTTGCCGTTGATGATGGAGTAGCTGAACTGGTTGTTCTGCGGCCGCACATCCTTGTCCACGGCTCTGACTGTCGTGACTTTGGTGCCGATCGGAGCGGCCTCCGAGATGACTGACGTGTAGTAGCGCTTGAGGAACTCGGGGGGATCGTTGCCGTCCTGAATGGAGATAATGACCTGCGCCTCGTCGGTGTCGTTGCCCCTAATGCTGCCGTAGTTCTTGGCCATGACTGTGAGCACCACCCGGTTCTGAGTCTCGCGGTCGAGGTGCCGGGCCACGTGGATTACACCCGTGTAGGTGTTGATGGCGAAGCCCTTGTCGTTGCTGGAGCCCACCAGCAAGTAGTAGACGCGCCCATCCTCGCCGCTGTCCTTGTCCGTGGCCTGGACGGCGCCCACAATGGTGCCCACGGCCGATGTCTCGGACACATCGAAGTGGAAGACGGGCTGCAGGAACTGCGGATAGAACTCGTTCACGCCCAGGATGTGCACGTGCAGCGTGGCGTAGCTCTCCATGCTCGAGTCGGGGTTCTTGGCCTTCAGCTGCATCGTGTAGGTGCGCCGTTCCTCGTAGTCGAAGGTGGCCGCGGACGAGATGCTGCCGTTGCTCGAGTTCATCACGAAGAAGTGGCGATCGGTGCCGCTCGGCAGGAAGGCGTAGTGCACGATGGCATTCTTCGGCGAGTCCTTGTCGGTGGCGTGCGCCTGGAACACGAAGGTGCCCACTGGCCTGTTCTCCGCCACGTAGCCATGGTACTCGGACTGATTGAAGAGCGGCGGATTGTCGTTCACGTCGGTCAGGATGATGGTCAGCATGGCCACAGCGGACAGCGGCTGGAAGCCCAGGTCCTGCACTGTGATATTCAGGTGGTACTCCTGCACCAGATCGTAGTCCAGCTGCTGCCGAATCAGAATCCCGCCCGTGAGCTCATCCACCAGGAAGTCGCGGCGTTCGTTGCCGCCCGAAATGGCGTAGCGCAGCATTCCATTGGGCCCCACATCCTTGTCCGTGGCGCCCACTGTCAGGATTGTGGATCCTATCGGCTCATTCTCGGGCACAATCACCTGGTAGCTGCGCGCTGTAAACTCGGGCGTGTGGTGGTTCTCGCCCGTGACCACAATGGTGACGCGGGTCTGGTCCGACTGCGGCGGCACCCCGTGATCGATGGCCTTGACGGTGAGCTCGAAGCGGGAGTTCGTGGGCACATTCAGGAGGGGCTTGGCCAACGATATCCAGCCATCGTGCTTGCCGATGGCGAAGGACGCGCTCAGGTTGCCGTTCACCAGGGCATAGTCCATCTCATTGGCGGCACCCATGTCCTGCTTGTCCGTGGCATGCACCCGCACAATGCGCTGGCCCGGACGGGCGTGCTCCGGCAGCGGCGACAGGTACGCGGCCTGCTCGAACTTGGGCGGATTGTTCTTGGCATCCACAATGTTGATGTTCACCAGACACTCCGAGTAGAGGGGCGGCTTCCCATTGTCCGTGGCCAGGATCGTGAGGGCGTACATGTTCTCCGGAGAGCGGACGTACTGCGATCGCTTGTACTGGATCACCTTCTTGCTGAAGATCTCGCCCGTGGCTGGATCGATGCTGAACATGGGCGACGGCTGCTGCAGCGAGTACGAGATGACAGAGTTGGGACCCTGCTTGTCCCGGTCGGTGGCTATGATCTGGCCCACAAGGGCCACCGGATGCAGCAGCTCCGGGAAGCTGAAGCTGTAGAAGCTATGCTCAAACTCCGGGGCATTGTCGTTCTGATCCTGGATGGTGATCGTGATGGGCGTCTCCGCTCGCCAAGCGCCGTCCGAGGCGACCACCTTCAGTATGTACTCGTCCTGCTGCTCCCGGTCCAGATGTCCCGCCACGGTGATGTTGCCGCTGAGGGGCTCGATCCTGAACTTCTCCCCCTCATTCGCGCTGAAGGAGTACGTGGCGTTGGCGTTCTGGCCCAGGTCCAGGTCCGACGACGTCACGCGGATGACAAAGCTCCCGATCTCTGCGTTCTCCGTTACGTTGAGCGAAAAGAGTCGCGTGAACTTGGGCGGATTGTCGTTCTTGTCGAGGAGGTGCAGCAGCACGCTGGCTGTGCCCGTTAGCTGAGGCACGCCCTGATCGACGGCCTCCACCACGAAAGCGTAGTCGCTCAGCTCCTCGCGATCGAGTCGCATGGTCGTGTAAATCTCGCCGGCATCAGTGATCTCGAACGTGCCCTCGTAGTCGTTGCTCAGACGGTAGCTGACCTCCCCATTGTCCCCAGAGTCCCGATCCCTGGCCTTGACAACGGCAATCAGCTGCGGCGGCGACTCCTCCTCCAGAACCTCTGCGTTGTAGATGAGCCTCTCCATGACCGGGGCATTGTCGTTGGCATCCGTCACGTTGATGGTCACCAGCATAACGCTGCGCAGGCTGGGCATGTCGCCATCGGCCGCCTCCACCCAGATCTCGTACAAGTGCGTCAGCTCATAGTCGAGGCCGTCGCGACCCACACTGAGGGCTCCGCTGCTGGCATCGATGCGCACCGCGTCTCCCATATTGCCACCGGCTATTCCATAGCGTACGTTGCCGGCGGATCCCTTTTTGGGCGAGGTGGCTGTGACTTTGGTGACAATCTTGCCCGGCTGCACATCCTCCGGCAGGGTGAAGCGTGTGTTGGCCATGTACGAGTACGTGGGAAAGAGTTCGGCGGGGCGCAGCATCACCGACAGCTCCGCCGTGGAGGTCTGCGGTGTCTGTCCCTGGTCCGTGGCGTGCATTTGGATGCTGAAGATCGCGGGGTCGCCAGGGGGTTTCTTCTTGCTCTTCAGCTCCAGCCTTGTGCTTATCGCTCCCGTCTTGACGTTCACCTCGAAGCACTCCTGGTCCCTGCCACTGATGCTGTAGTGGATGACGGCATTGTCGCCCTCGTCCAGGTCCACGGCCCTGGCCCCAAAAACAAACTCTCCCGCTGCTATCCTGTCTGGCACCGCAATGCTGTAGCTGCCGGACTCGAACTTGGGCTCATTGTCGTTCACATCGCCCACGCTAATGGTGAGATTCACGGACGAGGCACGGGGCTCGGTGATGGAACTATCCTGGGCCATGAGCGTCAGATGGTACACGGCGGTCTCCTCGCGATCCAGCACAGTGGCTGTGGTGATCTCTCCCGTTTCCGTGTCTATGTGGAACCGCGCCATGTGCTCGCCCAGCAGATTGAAGCGAAGCTTCGCGTTCAGCCCCGCATCCCTGTCCGTGGCTGTGGGCTGCAGCACCAGGGTGCCTATGGGCAGGTTCTCCTGGATGCTGGCGTGGTACGACTGCAGCTCGAAGACGGGGCCATTGTCGTTGATGTCCTGCACCTCGACGCGCACGATGCCAGTGCCTGTGAGGGGCGGGGATCCCGTGTCCATGGCCACCAGCGTGAGTATGTATTCGCTCTGCATTTCGCGGTCGAGCGGCTTCAGCAGGGCGATGGCGCCCGTCGAGGCGTTTATGCGGAACAGATCCGTGTCGCCCTCCTTCAGGAAGTAGCGCACCTGCGAATTGAGGGGCGGTGTGTCCGCGTCGTACGCGTTCACCGTGAGGACGTAGCCATCGTTCGGCGGCACCGTGTTCTCCATGACACGCGCCAGGTACGGCGAGTCGAGGAACGTGGGTCGATTGTCGTTAATATCGAGGATGCCGATGGTCAGCTCCGCCGTGTCACTGGCACTGTTCTCCACGGCACAGTCCTCGGCGCGCACGGTGAGGGTGTAGCGTGCCTTCCGCTCGTAGTTCAGGTTCTTGGCCACCCGCACCACGCCCGTGTCCTCGCTGATGCTGAAGTCCTGGTTCTGGTCGCCAGTCATAATGGAGTAGCGAATGCGGCCGTTGGCTCCCTCGTCCACATCCGTGGCGGACACCTGCAGCACCATCGCCCCAATGCTGGCGTTCTCCGCCACCGAGGCCGAGTACTGCTTCGGATCGAACACTGGACTGTTGTCGTTCTCATCGAGTATTCGCACCAGCAGCTGGGTGGCGGTGGCCTGCGGGGGCTCCCCCCGGTCGCGTGCCGTTATATTCAGAACGTAGCTGGAACGCAGCTCGCGGTCCAGGGCATCCACAACGCGCACCAGGCCGTCGGTCGGATTAAGGGAAAAGGGAAGCGGCTCAGCAGCGTCATCGTCGTCGTCGTCGCCTGTCGCTGCCTCCTCAAGCAGATAATCGATGTAGCCATTGCGTCCCTCGTCGTAGTCGACGGCTTTCACCGCGATAACAACCGTATTGATGGCCACGTTCTCCATGATCGACGTTTCGTTTGCGGAAACGAACACGGGCACTTCGTCGTTGACATCTTTGATGAGTATCGTTACCTGTGGCGACAAGTGGAGGGCAAAAAGGGGGATTAGCGGATCGTAGATATCGATCTTAGGCTTAGGCTAATTGTGTGGATAGGCTGCCATGAAGCTGCCGATCGATGGCAGCTGATAAAACGGTAAACACACTTGAAACGGACCCCGCGATGGCCCAAGCAAATCTCTTAATTAATTAGGGCTGTTGCTATTGCAACTGTGCGGAATATTCCAAGGAGGAGCCGCCTCGAAAGACGCTTTTTCCTGGTCCTGTCTTTTATATATTGCAATAATTTCAGAGATCCCTGCCCGCCCGCTTACCTTCACAGTCGATGAGAGTCGCTGCTGCTTCTGATGGGCCAGAAACTGTTGCTGCTGGTGCGTCTGCTGGTACCGTCTGGGCGAGCGGTACTTGAGCTTCAGCTGCGTCTCCTCCAGCTCACTGAAAGTGGCAATTTCATCGGCACAGTCGCGGGCTGTCACCGTCAAAGTGTACGAGGAGCGGCGCTCCCGGTCGAGCTGGCGACGCGTTCGGATGGTGCCGTTGCTATCGATGCCAAACTCCTCGTCGGCGTCTCCTGCTGTGATGATGTACTCGATGAGTCCATTGTTGCCTTGAAATGAACAATAATTAAATTAAATAATAATAATAGTTGAAGGTTCCTGGCTGTAGCTTACCCGAGTCGATGTCCTTGGCTGAGACAGTGACCACCTCCATGCCCGTGGGCACATTCTCAAACACTTCGCTCGAGTAGCTCATGGGATCGAACAGGGGCGCGTTGTCGTTGAGGTCGAGAACGTTGCAGTACACTGTGATGGTGGTCGATAGGCTGGGCTGACCACTGTCCTGGGCCTGCACAATCAGAATGTAGTGCTGCACCTGTGCGACCCAAAGGAAAAGCAATGTGTAACGACACTTGTGGATGGATGGATGGATGGCAGGGGTACGTACCTCTTCGTAGTCCAAGCGGGCAGTGAGGGTGAGCATCCCCGTTTGCGGATTAAGGCTGAATACATCGTTGGCCCAGTCCGAGACGACGCCGTAGGACAGCTGGGCGTTCGGGCCGAGATCCGCATCTCTGGCCACCACCTGACCCACCTGATAGCCCCGGGGAGCATTCTCCGGAATATCGAACGAGTACACGGCCTCCTCAAACATCGGTGGATTGTCGTTGGTGTCGCTCACCTGCGGGCACACATTAGGTTAGGTTGGAGTCCAAAGCAAAGGAAGGGATTCGCTTACCTCGATGGTTATGTAGGTCTCCGTGTACTGTACCCCATCGGAGACCCGAATGCGCACATCGTAGTTGCTCTTCGTCTCCCGGTCGAGGGTGTCGTTCAGCGACAGCCTGCCAGTCGTCGGATCCAGCTGGAACTTGCCGTCATGGCCGTTAATCAGCATGAACTTGACAGTGCCCAGGGTATCGGGATCGTGGGCGCGTATCGTTGCAATGGTGTGTCCGATCTCCAGCTCCTCGCTGACATTGTAAACGAATGGCGCATCGAGGAACTGCGGGGGACTGTCGTTCTTATCGAGAACTGTTACTTTGACCTGCCGAATGGAAGAATAAAACATAACAGTGAGAACAGTGACCCATAAAGCAGCTACAATTACGATTACGAGTACGAGTATGTGTGGTACAGTGAAGCAAATAAAACGAATGCCGAATGCCGATTCCATCAAGCGGAAACTCGTTCCATATTTGGCACTAAATACACCAGAATACAGAATGTATCTACGAGTGCCCGTACCCAAACTTCTGTCGCAATGTCAATCGCATTCTTCATCTCTGTGGCCTGGGCTTGACCCGCTTACGCTTTGGCTGTGTGGCTGTGGCTTTAGCCTCCGTCTCTGGCCATATGCGCAGCCAGTTACGTGAACTTTCCGCCCGAAGCTGAAGCTAAACCTGAATGTTCCGCTTGTTTATGACCGAGCGGAATATATAGTTTAGGCCAGCCACTCGCATGACCGCCATTGAGTTCCAACACAAGCAAAAACCGGCTAAGCCTACTCGTTCGTTGGTACTTTAACAAATTTACTTTTGGCTGTCGCCATTGTCACCATTTAACATTCATTTGAATTTGATATGTCTGTGCGTGCAGCATGCCTCTGGCATCTATCTCTCTGCAAGTGGTGGAGTCCCGGAACATGAACATTTCACTACAAGACACACACCACAAGGGAATCTCGTAGAGTAGTGTAGTGTAGTGGGGCATATGTGGGGTAGGCGTTGAACACTCTGGGGGGACTCTCTAAACCCATTATTTCCCAGCGGAGTCTGGAGAGTTTTTCCCATTCCCATTCCCTAGTTCCTAGTTTTAGAATCAATCCTCTAATCAAGCCGCACTAAAATCGTGGCCGTTGGGCCACATAAACCGAGCTCGTAACTCTTGCTTAACTTTAACTTCCACACACAGTGTCCAGTGCCCAGTCTCAGTCCCACTCTGGACTCCGGACTCCGGAGGACAAAAGCCAAGAAAGCAATAAATACGCCAGAAGAAGAGAGACCAGACAGAGACAGAGCCAGGAGACTGAGGCTCTGCACGTAAAATATAGCATCGTGTGCTGGTGGGGCTGGCTGGGTGTTAAGTCGGTCGCTGGTGAGTCCAGGGAAGTGCATGCGAGTAAATACTGCATTTGTAATAAAATTTATGCAAATTTGTAACATCAGACAGCGCCTTGAGTGTGCCATTCAACAGACAACGACTAGGACTAGGACGTGGATGGAATGGGATGGAATGGGATGGGATGGGATGCATTGCTGAAGCGATCCTCAGGAGGAGCCGCACATTAGTAGACACTCAGGCCGGGCCGGGGCGGCTGTTTGGCTGTTTGCCTGTTTGCCTGTTGGGCAGTTTGGCAGAGAGTCGAGTCTATCAGCAAAACACCATTTACGGCCCCGGGGCAAAGTGAAATGTGTGCAGCTAATTGAACTAATTTGAGCAGTGGAAAGCGGGTGCAGCTGCAAGAAATGTGACCATTTGTCAATCCCCTTAATGGCCCACGGAAGAGGAACACTGCACTACACGACACGACACTAGAAGACACAACACGACTCGTAGCGGAGCGGAGTCGAGTGGAGTGGAGTGCAGCAGTGATTAGCAATAGGATGGCAATAAATTTGCGTAAAATTCTAGACCTGATCTGTCCTGAGACCGGCGACATTTTGATTGAAAGCCAGCAGCCCAGCAGCAGCCGCAAGACAATCTCTCCATTTCCGTTTATGCCACGCGTTTTCTCTACTCATTTCTACTTCTCTGTGTCTCTCTCTCTCTGTTCCTCTGCGCTTTAATTGAGTCTCGTCTGTTTTCAATCGGTCATGCGGCCAAAGCAGGTCACTCGCAGGCCGAAGCAGACTAGCAGACTAGAAACCGACACTAAGCACCAGTCAGTCCATTATCATTATAATCCCATATTGCCCGGGCCTGCCCGATTGTTCCGGCTGTTTCAAATTTCACGGGCTTAGTATTGGCCACCGGATGAAGGGACAGTCAGTCAGCGTGGCCGGCGGCGGCGACGGCGGCGGCTGGCGAATATTTAAAATTAACGCAAATAAAGCAACAAAAAATTGAAAACATGACAATCGTTTTAAATCAATGCAACCCAACAATGAATTGATTGAAACCCTCTTCGCACGCGAGCAACAGCCAGGGAAACATCCACTAAACCATAGTTCCATGTAGTGCCAGCGACGCATGTGTCTGTGGCTGTGTCGGTGTGTGCCTTAAACGCTGCTTCGTGCCCCATGGAGATGCTGCTGCGACTGCTGCTGCTGCCTGCTGCCTGCACGAAGCTGGAACTGGAACTACAGCGCTCACATTTGCATGCGTACATTGTTGGCATACCTACGCATCCAACGTGTCTGTCGGGGTCCCGCCACGAACACGCGGATCGGTATTAGCATCGGGGTCGAAGGGAGGAGAGCAGTGCAGAGCAGAGAAAGGGCCGACCATTCCGATGGCTGCCTGCAAACAGAGCAGCTCAGAGCGACGTCGGGGGATTTTTTTGTGCTTATATGTATTTTTATTCTTGCTTTATTTGTGCCTGCTTTCTGCCAGAAAACCAGTAAAAGAAGGCCAGCAGCAGTCGAGTTCTGTGCGGGGCGGGGAAGACTGGGGGAATGATGCTGTGCAGAGGAGATGCCTTGACTCCTGGCGTGTAGGGTACCAGCAGCAGCAGCAGCAGCAACAGCACCAGCAACAGCACCAGCCATAATTAAAGGCATCTGCCAATGAAGCAACTTATTATAATTCTATCCCTGCGGCCCATTTATGCAGGCAGCTCTCTGCGATGTAAAATATATTTTCTCGATACACAGGTCTGGCTGGTTTCCTCTTCCTCCTTTCCTTTTGCTCTCCTCCCTAGCCCAGCGCCTCTATCAAATTCATTCAGCAGATAGCAGGAGAGCCAGAGAGCAGGAGAGCAGCTTAGGGACGCCGAATCCGCCTGTTGTTTGTCTGTTAATTTGCATTTCAAGGCATAACCGCATCTGCATGTAGAATGTCCGAGTCCGAGTGCGAACCGAACCGATCCGATCCGAACTGGGGCCTCACTTGGAGTTGCAAGCTCCTTGGAGCGCTCCAGCGGCTCGCGTGTAATCAACATTTCATATCAGCACAAGACATTAAAAGCGCATTAGTGCGGTCTCGACTTGCACTGATAAGCCGGGCCCTTAAAGCTGCCCTGGCCCAGTAATGGCTGCCACAATGGGCCCAGGCCAGGCCAGGCCAGGCCAAGCCAGGCAGAAGGAAAGGCAAAAGAAGTCTCAGCGAGCCTCTGCTGCATCAGCATCTGCCCTCTGCATCATGCGAGTGGAATGTGAAATGTGAATGTGAATGTGGGGGATATGGGGACTTACCTTTGTGTGCGCTGTGCGCGGCTGTCCGCCCAGAGCGATGGCATAGACCTCCACCTCGTAGCTGTCCGGCCCGGCCTCGCGGTCCAGTTCGGCCGCCGTCGAGAGTATTCCCAGCTTCGCATCGATGTCGAACAGGCGGTCCACCTGCACGGGCAGGGCTCTGTTCCCCGCAGTCACATTCGTCACAAAGTACTCGATTTCGGAGCCCGGAAGATGGGCACTCACCGTGAGGATGCTCGTGCCGATCGGCTCGTTCTCATACACGGAGCCGGACAGGGCGTTGGGCTGCTCGAAAAGGGGCACGGGCAAATCGTTGCCGGGCGTGCCAGGCGTGATGATCGTTATGTACACCTCGCTGCTCCTTCGCTCGCTCTGCACCGCCTCGTCCGTGGCCTTGAGGGTGAGCTGGTGCCGGATCTCGGGCTTGTACTGGGCCCCCGGGCTGAAGGTGATGATGCCCGTGTTGCGCTGCAGCCGGAACAGCTCCTGCTGGCCGCTCACGATCTCGTATGTGACCAGGCCATTGCTCGAGGAGTCCGCGTCCCGTGCTTGCACCTGTATCACGGGCTCCTCCCTGTTGGCCAGCAGCTTCAGTGGCAGGATGGCCGCATTCATGGACACAAAGATGGGGGCATTGTCGTTGATGTCCTCGACAATCACCGTCACCAGCTTCTCCGTGGAGAGCTGCCTGCTCGAGGGCTGTGCTCGATCGGTGGCCACCACCGTCAGCCGGAACGTGTCTATGGTCTCGCGGTCGATCTCCCGCAGAGTGTGGATGACTCCCGTCTCCGTGTTGATGCCAAAGTGCCGTCCGCCCGCCAGCTCGGGCTCCTGCCTGCTGATGGCATAGCCCACTTTGCCGTTCAGTCCCGAGTCGGGATCGTCCGCAGTGACGGTGACTATCGGGGTCTTCAGGGCAATGCCCTCCTTGATTTGCCGCACAATCGCCGTGCTGGGGAAGATGGGCGGATTGTCGTTGTCGTCCACGACCACCACGTTGTAGAGGACGGTGGTGGACAGCGACGGAGTGCCGCAGTCCGAGGCCGTGATGTTGAGCGTGTAGCTGGTGATGTCCTCGTAGTCGAGCGCCTTGTGCAGATAGAGGCTGCCGCTCAGGCTGTCGATGTGGAAGGTGTCCCGGCGGTTGCCCGCCGATATGCTGAAGACCACCTGGCTGTTGACGCCCTGGTCCGCATCGCTGGCCCGGAAGCGCATCAGTTCCGTGCCACTGGGGCTCGTCTCCAGCACCGACACCTCGCTGCTCGACTGCGTGAACTCCGGGGCGTTGTCGTTCTCGTCCAGCACCACAATGCTGATGCTGGCATTCGAGCTGAGCGGCTGCTTCAGGGCTGCGTCGCGGGCCACGACGACCAGGTGATGCACATCCTGGGACTCGCGGTCCAGCTTTCTGGCCAGCGTCAGCTGCCCCGTGGCACTGTCCAGGCTGAACAGGCCCGCTCCGTTGCCCCTGGCGAGGGAGTAGTACACATCGCCGTTCAGGCCCTCATCCGCGTCCTGGGTGAACACGTGCATGATGTGCGTGCCCTCGGAGGCGCCCTCGGAGAGGGTCACATGGTACGGGGCACGCAGGAACTCGGGCGCATTGTCGTTGACATCCGTGACAATCACCTTCACCTTGACCTTGTCGTGCAGCCGCGGACTGCCGTTGTCCGAGACCATCGCCTCCAGGATCATATAGTTGGCGTATCCCCGGCTGGCACTGCGCTCCTCTTCGCTGCTGCTGCTGCTGCCCTCCGTGTTCCGGTTCTCCTTGACCAGGGCCTCCCGATCGAAGGGCCGGAGGGTCTTGATGAAGCCGTTGCGCGTGTCTATCGTAAAGTCCTGCGTCTGCGTGGACAGCGTGAAGCTGAGCTCTGCGTTGCGGCCAATGTCCCGGTCCACGGCCAGCAGTTTGCCAACGAACGTGTCCGCGGGCGCGTTCTCCGGAATGCTGAAGGTGAAGGTGCTGTTGGTGAACTGCGGCGCATTGTCGTTCTCATCGATGACATGGATGACCACGGGCACAACGGAGGAGCGCGAGGGGTCGCCCGCATCCTGGCAGGACACTGTCAGGGCGTAATAGTCGCGCTCCTCCCGGTCCAGTGGGGCACGCACGAACAGATAGCCGTCCGGGAATACGCCGAACATGCGATCCGCGTTCCCCTCAATGATCTCGTACGAGATGCGGCCGTTCTCCCCCAGATCGATGTCGGTGGCGGCCAGCGCAAAGAAGCGCGTGTTCACCTTGGTCGTCTCCAGGAGCGACGTCTCGTACGAGGTGTGGTCGAACACGGGCGTGTGATCGTTCACGTCGGCAATGTGCACCAGGAGGCTGAGCCTGTTGGACAGCGGCGGGCTGCCCGCATCCGTGGCCATCAGCTCCACGCGCAGAATGGAGCCCGGCTCCGCTCGGACCGGGCGCTGCAGATACAGCACTCCAGTCACTGGCCCAATCCGGAACTGCTGGTCCGGGTTGTGGGTGAGGTTGTAGCTGACGCGACTGTTGATGCCTGCGTCCCGGTCACGCACTCGCGACAGGTAAATCTCCTGCCCCACGGCAGCGTTCTCTGGCAGCGAGATCGTTGGCTCAGCATCACGATCCAGAGCGAAGCTGGGCGCATTATCGTTCAGATCGATGATCGCAATGTTGACATTGCACTTGCCATACACAATCCCAGTGCTAGGGCCAGGGCCAGAGCCAGAGCCAGTGGCAGTGGCAGAGTTGGAACTGGATGCCAAGATAACCAGCCGATAGTGGGACTGCTCTTCTCGATCGATGGGGCGTGCGGTGGTGATGCGGCCAGAGTGGGGATCGATGGCAAAGTTGCCAGCCCTGTCCCCATGGATAATGACGTACTCGATGGCAGCCACCTGTCCCTTAACCTTAACCTGCACAAGTCCCACCTCGCGACCGAGGCGCGCCGGCTGCTGCTCGTGATCCTCGGCAAGGTGAAACTCATAGGCGCCCTGGCTGCCACACTCCAGGTCTGTCCCTGTCCCTGTCGCTGTCTCTGTCTTCGACAGCAGCACAATGTCCACGACAGCGTCCTGTGCGCTACGTCGCTGGCCCGAGTCCCGGGCAGAGACCAGCAGCTTATAGTGGGGCTTTGTGGCGGTGCGTAGCATGTCGCCACGCAGCAGCACAGCGCCAGAGTGCGCGTCAACGTGGAACACGCCCTCGCCACCTGACTCCAGGGTGTACGTAATTAAGGCATTATCGCCCTCGTCCCAATCTGTGGCCGTGACATGGAGCAGCGTTCGTTCCTTTGCCTTCCCGCTCCCGTTCCCAGTCTCAGTCTCATTCTCCATCTCCATCTCCTTCTCATTGGCATGGCCATGGCCATGAGCATGAGCATGAGCATAAGCATGATCATCCACGTCGCTGAACGTGTAGATGTAGTGCTTGGGATAAAACTCGGGATCGTTATCGTTGATATCTGAGACGCTCAAGTAGACGGTGGCCGTGGCCGACTGTGGAGTGGGTGCACCCTGGTCGCGGGCGATCACAAAAATTTCATAATTCGCCATTGTCTCACGATCGAGCGCCTTGCGCGTCGTTAATTGGCCCGTTATGGAGTCGATCGCGAACTGCTGCGGATAGAGACGCTCCACGCTGGGCGCCAGCGCGAATGCGACAGAGCCGTTCGTGCCCTGGTCGTGATCGGTGGCAGTCAGCATGGAGACCAGGCTCTGGGGTGCCACGTCCTCGCTGAGGCTCACGTTCAGATGCCGCTGCCCGAACTGCGGTGCCTCGTCGTTCTCGTCCAGAACGGTCACCTTCAGCTGCGTGTAGGCGAACTTTGGATTGGGGCCGCCGTCGCGGGCCGATATGCTCAGCTCCACGCTGTCCCTGATCTCCCTGTCCAGAGCACCGGCTGTGGCAATCAGGCCGGTGGCGGCGTCAATCGAGAACCACTTGAGCTCGTTGCCCGAGAGGATCTCGTAGTGGATCTGCGCATTGACACCCGTGTCCTCATCCGTGGCCGTTATCGATGCCACGTAGCTGCCGGTGGGTGCCAGCTCGCTGAGCACCGCCGAATACTCGGACTTCTCGAACACCGGGTCGTGGTCGTTCACATCGTTCACGTCTATGATCAGATGGGCCGTCGTGGTGCGTGCCGGCGTGCCCTTGTCCATGGCCACGACGGTCAGGTTGTACTTTCCGATCTCCTCCCGATCGAGCACTCCGTTCACGCGCACAATGTGAAAGAGTGGCGTCTTCTCCAGCCGGAAGTGGCCCAGCTCATTGCCGGACACGATCCGAGTGGTGGTCTCTCCGTTGAGGCCATCGTCCGAGTCAATCACAGACACGGCGGCCACGACGGTGCCGTTGGCGGCATTCTCATCGACGGTGGCCACGCTGCCAGTGGGTGGAAAGTACTGGAATCGAATGATGGGATCGTGGTCGTTGGTGTCCAAGAGGTTCACCGTCACATAGGTGCGCCCGTCCTGCCGCGGGGAGCCGTGGTCCCGCGCAAACACCGTGAAAACACAGCTCTTCTGGCCCCCGCCTCTGGCATTCTGCTGCGTCTGCTGGGGGCAATTGACGCGCTCCGTGGTGGAGATGACGCCCGTCTCCGGGTCCACTGTGAACTGGTGCTCCGTTTCGGCCAGATAGTACGTCAGCTTGCTGTTGTCGCCCAGGTCGTTGTCCGAGGCCATGACAGTGACCACTGGGGTGCCGGCCACAGCCGTCTCGTTCAGCGAGACGTTGTAGTCGCTGTGGTCGAAGATGGGCGGGTTGTCGTTCACGTCCAGAATGGTCACGTTCACCTGCAGGTATCCCAGGCGGGGCGGGGAGCCGCCGTCGCGGGCCGATATGTTCAGCTGGTAGCTGCCCCGCGACTCGCGGTCCAGGTTGCCCGTCGTCTCCAGGTGCAGGTAGGATGTGTCCCCGCTGGGATTGGTGGTGGTGGCCAGGCGGAACTTGTGGTCCACGTTGCCGTCCACAATCTCGTACTGGTCGGTGACCCCGTTCTCGCCGGTGTCCGCATCGGTGGCTGCGTCTAGCAGCAGACGCGTTCCCGACACGGCGCTCTCGGAGAAGGAGACCGCGATGCTGGGCTCCGGAAACTCGGGCGCATTGTCGTTGATGTCGAGCACCTTGATGCGGACCTCTATGGGGTAGGTGGGCTGCGAGGAGAGCACCACCAGGTCGTAGTGGTCGCGCATGCCCTCGCGGTCGAGCACCAGGTTCGTTTTCACCTCCCCAGTGACGGGATCCAGCGAGAACTCGCGCGGGGGCTCGTTGAAGCGGTACGTGAACTTCGGCTTGGTGGGTATGAAGCCCACGAGGGTGCCACGCGGCTGGCCCTCGAGCACCTCGAAGTCTGCACTGGTGTCAACAGCGCGGGACTGCATCTCGCCCGCCGGCGAGGAGCTGCGTCGCCTCGGAAAGGCCGCGTACTGTTCGTAGGTGGTGGCGTAGCTGCGCCCGCGGGGCGCTAGTAGCTCCAGCGTGGGCCCCAGCTTGATCTCTTCCGCCTGGCAGCAGGGGTCCATGGCAGACAACAGGAACAGGAGCAGCAGCGGAGCCCCAACTGCTGCCTGCGTCCCCCATCCGCGGCCACGGATCCGCCCGTCCATCGTCTCTTTGGAGCTCCTGGGAGCTGATGGTGGCCGTAGTGGGCCGTGCTCCTTGATTTTCGCACTGTCTTCGTCACTTCTTCTCCTCTTCCTTTCCCTTTCCCTTCCCCTTTGTCTTTGTTTACTTTTCAATGTTTTCATTTGCTTTTTTACTTTCTGCTTTGCCTTCTTTGCATTTTTACGTCATTTCACGTCTTTCGTATGGTTTTTCGATTCGCCAGTAAAATTCGCCTGAAAAAAAAAAATATATGAGTAGAATTAGTCGACTTATTAATGGACAATTAATGCGCTTATCGAATACGAATATCAGCACGTGCTTTATAGGTTATGTACATATGTATGTCGGGTCTTGGTTACATTTTGCACCGGTTTCAGCATTCTGTTCCGCCCTTTTCCAACATTTCTCAAAATATAAAATCAATTGCCTGCGACGCAATTGCGTCTCCCTCTCTGTCTCACCCACACTCATCATTGCAGAGGCGCTGCTTTGATCCTCTCTGAGCGAGTCTATCACTACACTCACTCTCTCTCTCACACAGGTAATAGAATAGACAGACGACAAGAAGAACTGTAAATCGACCAGGGAGATGAGCACACAAGAAGGAGAGTGATAATACACTGAGAACAATCACATAGGGAATTCCATAGTAGCAGACAGAATGAAATACACTGAGAATATCAGATATTATCATTATTATGATTCGACATGCTTATAGCATACTTGTTGGAATAACACTTTCAATTAACCAATTTCGAGCCAGCGCGGCATAGCAACCACCATTTCATACTCCGTCGAGCATAAAATTGCATGCGGCACTCAATCGGGCGGCGGGTGCAAGAAGCTCTTCGCTCTGCGGTCCCCAGTGGCATATGAGGCGCGAAAGCGTAAAGTTTAGCCAGTGCTAAACTGCAATTCTGCTGCCACGAAGTGTGGCAAGCAAATGACTGAGGAAACGAACTTAAGCCTAATTTTCCCAGCTAATAAATCAACCCCTATTAGCCCACGCCTTTGCCATGGACTGGGGATCTTTTGCAGTCAAAATAGAAATACGGGCAGCGTTTGAAGTGTTCGAATTGATTGAAGGCAAGGCCAGGCAAGGAGAGGCACGGCTACGGCAGGGCAGACACAGCTCTTCTTAGGCTTTTTGGAAAATCTAATCAAGATTTAGGCGGCGTCTATTAATCAAATGAAATTCCAAAGCACACACACACAGGCAGAGGCAGAGGCAGAGACAGAGACACAGTGAAGAAGGGAGGGGAAACAGCATCGCATCCATTAATACCATGCGTGTCAGCTTTGGACTAAATTAATGCTTTGTGGGCAATCTCTTGTTAGTTTTCGATTCCATAAGAGTATCAATACAAAGACGGGAGACCCCCTGCCCCGCTCAGCGATGACCAAAGCCCAAGAACAACGTGCAGCACTGTATAGAATCGAGAATCGAGCTCTAAAACTGATTCGTATTCGTATTAACACTCGAATAGCGTAAAATCCCAAATGGACAGCAACAGCAGGGAGTGCTCGACCACGGTATACCCTGCCGCTCACCACGCATGGAGCACCATTGTTAGAAATGATAATACCCATTGGAAGGAAAAAGAAAAGGGTATATGCCACTGCTAGATGGACTAACTAGACAAAAGTATGGCAGGGGACCCGCAGTATCTGTCAGAATGTGGGCTGTGGATCGGATCTCTACGAGTATGCAGACATACATACATATGTATGTATGTGTGTAGCTGAAAATGCGTCGTAAATTTCGTTTTTGTTGTCCCGAAGCGAAGCTTTTCAAGCCGAACCCGTTCATTAATCTTCAAAATCTACCTGCTCTAATGGTATTGTTGGATGTTGTTGCTGGCTGGGCTGTTGCTGCTGCTGTTGCTGCTGGTTCTGGTGCTGTTCCTGGCAGACTTCTCATTTCGTTTTTGGTCTCTATCAAAGATATTTTTGATTTCTTAGTGTTTTGTTTTCTTTATTGCGGGACGGGACCAACACTCACACACACACACGTACACGTAACCCAGAAAGGGGTCTGTACCTGTGCCTGGCCTGTCTCTTGTTTCTATCGAATACCAAATACCGAATACCGATTGCATTAGTAAGACATTCAAAATGGTCCCCGAGTATTTCAAACTTTTTGAAACTTCTCCCCTTCTCCACCCCGCAACCTTCACCCAACAAGGCGAGCATGTCACTCTCATTGTACCGGTCCGGTCCAGATGTTTCCGATGTAAGTGAAGCCCTCGGGGGCGATATTCGCCAGTCAGTGTGCAGATTGAACTCCAAAAAGCTCACTCCGAAGAGTTCACTGTTCAATCGTGTTAGTGAACCCAGAGAGCCAGGCATCGAGATTTAAATATTGGCCCCACGAATGTCTCGAGGAAGGGAAAGAAAGGCAAAAGCCATTTGTTTGATTGATGTATGCATATTGTTTTATCTGTCTCTTTTACACTTTCCCATACTCATCGCCGGCCCATGGCATATCTGGTATCTGGTTTCCACGCCATTAATATCGATGGGATGGCTGTGCGGGCTATTTTTGAGAGCTCATAAATACGATATCTGTGCATGATTTGGCTCTGTCTCAGCCTCTGCCTCTGCCTGGTCCTGTATACACATACCGTAGTATACCAGATCAGAGCGAATTTGCAATGCAAATTCAAATACACAACAAAGGGCAGAGCGTAGAAAATATGCAAGTATCGCTAGAACAGAACAGAACACAACAGAACAGAACAGATATCTTTCGGCGACAAGGAACAGAGTCGTCGAAATTTCGTGAGGAACGCTCATTGCAGCATCGCCTGGAGCAAGACGAAGAGGCAGTGGCAGTGGCAGAGGCCCCAACACACCCATGCCCATGCCCCGCGCCCGATCCTTATTATTATGAATTTTTATTTTATTTGGGCTTTTCACTTTACATCTCACTACAAGTCGAAGCAAGCAGCCGAGCAGCAGAGCTGCGGAGTGGAGTGGAGTGGAGGAGCTTTGTGAGTTTGGAGTTCGGGTTTGGGTTTGGGTTTGGGGCAAAGAAAACGTGTTTTTCATATTTCCATATTCATTTACATTTCGCTGCTGAGCGGCGTGCAAGCGCAAGCCGATACCAGGCACAGATACAGATACACAATGGACACACCATGGCCATGGAGAGGGGTTACAAGATTTTGAACAAAAAGGAATATTTTCTTTCTTCTTTCTTTTGTCGATATTTCTTACAATAACAAAACTCACAGAAAACACACAGAAAATGCTCAACCATTTCAGCCATTACGTGGCAACAGCCATTTGTGCGCTCGCTCAACTCTCGGCTCAGCTCAACTCTCGGATCGGATGAAATCGGCTCACGGTCCCCAGCTATGGTTGAGCCCCAGCATCTCAGCATCCGACAACAACAACAACAACAGAGGCCAACCTTTACTTCAACCACAACGACAGCGGCAACGACAACGACAAGAGCAGCAACTGCCCCTGCCACTGCCTCTGCCTACGTTACCGTTGGCTTTGGCTTTGGCTTATAATAATTCAACAATTAATCTTATTTGTGTTAGTCGCGTCAAGACGCTGCGGCTCTGTCTGCTCAAAGGTACGAGAGTACGAGTAATCGTATGTGCTGTACGTGTGTGTCACATACATTTTACATTCACATTCATCGTTTCCTTTTGCATACCACACTTTTATTGTATTCATTTCTAATGAATGCCAATGCATTAGCCAAAGCTGTTTGCAGTGCGCGTGGGCGTGCTCCCAGAATGGGAATGAGCGGAAAAGCGATTTGTTTTCTGGTTTATGGATTTTATGCAAATTTTTAGTTCGAGTTTCAGCATTGGTTTGGATCATTGGTAGATCCATTCCCCAACTCCCCAACTCAGTATCAGATCAGTGTAATCCCCTCCAAGCTATATGCTCAGGCATGTGCTATCCATAGCATAACTATGAATATTTGTATGTACATACATACATAAGTATGAGGAGTACCTACCATTTTTCTTCACATTTTTACATGCATTTTAGTGTTGGTGGGCTCGCACGGATACGGACACGGACACAGGCAGAGGCATGGATACCGATACCGATGGGGGCACACACACACGAACGCACAGGGGCACAAACGGCCGCAGACGCAGCATATTTTTTTTTTTTTTTAGCAAAACGTGTTTTGCTTCATTTTTCGCTCTTGTATATGGCTTGTTGCAGCAGTGGCTGCTGCGGCTGCTGCGGCTGCTGCTGCAACGTTGTTGGAATTTTTCACTTATAAAAATTTGCAACGGCGACACACAGATGCACACGCACACACACAGGCGCAGCAGGTACACAAATACACTTGGGGCCAGAGCACAAAATTTGCCAGCTGCTTTGGATTTATATTTCAACAAATTGATTTGGATTTGTGCCTAGAGAAGGAAGCACTGCACTGCACTGCACAGGGGCACCTTCGGAGGAGGCGGCCTTATGTTCGGATATATGCAGTGGCATGTATCTCCCAGTTGGGTAAGGCAAACCGAATCCAAGTCTCCGACGCACCTTCACTTTTGTCAACCGTTTCACGCACGCGCGCCTTTTCAAATCGCAGAACTCGGCCCAAAGCCTCGCTCAGTGGTCGCAACGTAACTGAAAACTGAATGCCGAGCGCCACGAGTGGAGTTGCAAGCAGAGATTATGAGCATAGCGGGAGCCGACCCGAACCGAACCGAACCAAGCCTGCCTTGGAAAAGCCGCCTGACAGGTTTAGGCCAAGAGAAGAATCTCACACAGAGAGACGTAGAGAGAGAGAGCGAAAGAGAGAGAGACTCTGCTGACCGCCATATACGTGCCAAATGTGGTAGCTTGTTCTTCAGCGCTCTTCTCTGCGCTCTCCTGCCCAGTCTACCTGTTGTGGCAGCGGCGTTGTGGCAGCGGAGGCCTGCAACACATTTTTCACTTGTTGCAGTTTCGTTTTTCATTTTCTTGTTCGGAAATGTTGCCTGTGCTGCGCTCTCTCTCTCTCTGTCTCTCTCTCTGGGCAGCTCTTCTATGAAACTATTCGATTCGCTCTCGCTGTGCCTTGGACTCTGGGGGCGCAGACGGAGCCGGAGCCAGAGCCAGAGCCGCCCCTCCGACTTAGGCCATAATGCAGCCCCGCAGTGGTGCATACCCATAGCCAGTCCGACAAGATTCAATAGCCACCGGCGACCCATACACAACAACAATAAAAATTACTTGCCTGCTCTGCAGTGTACATAGAGTGTGTGTGGTGGGGTGTGGGGATGGGATGCTTCACTTGCTCCTGTTGTTGTTTCTGTTGTAGTTGTAGTTGTTTTCGTTATTGTGCTCAGTCGTGCTCACTCGGTCCCACTCCGACTCCGACTCCGATTCCGACTCCACCACATTCAACTCCACCAAGGAGCTGCTGCCATCCAAAGTTGGCCGGGAGGGGGAGAAGGAAACGAAAACGATGATGACGATGACGACGAAGGCCTGCTTCCAGGTCGGGTTTGGTTTGCTTTAGGAATAAGAAATTCTTCTGTTTCTTCGGCTCTCTCTCTCTCTCTCTCTCTCTCTCTCTCTCTCTATACAACAACACCGAACACTCACTCCCTCTCTGGGGTCTCTCCTAGTCTCTTTCTCGCCATCGCTCTCTTTGTTGCGGGCACTTTTTATTTGGTTACTTCCCTGGATCGGCGGACCGACCCGACCGTCTTGGGCAGCGCCGTAGAATTTTGTTTAGCATAGAAACTGGTTTCAAATTAAAATTATCGCTGGTCATTTTTCTTATGGTTAGTTGTCGTTTACTTTGCTGCTGTTGTTGTTGCTGCTGCTGGTGCCTCATTTTTTTTCGATGCTGGAATTTCGGTGTTTGGTGTTTGGGACCTGCGTTTTACTTCCCTTTACCGGGGCTGGACTGCTGCTGGGGCTGGTAGTGTGAACTAGCTCTGCTCTCTCGCCGTCCCGTCCATGTGATGCGTGTGTCGGCCACTGGGCGCCCTGGAGTATGTATGTATGTACATATGTATGCATGTATGTACATATGTATGAAGGAGTCAGAGAGTATGAAGGCTGACAATGAGTCTCTGTCTGGGGCTGGCTCGGATCTTGCCTGCAGACTGACGGGACGGTGGTTGGTGGTTGTCTTTGGTCGGATGTCGCTGGATCTGGCTGGCCATCTTTATTCTTATTAGGTTCGAAATTCGAATCTGGGACTGGTGAAATTCCAGGAATTCCTGATGGCACTTAAAACCTAAGCGAGCCCTCGGTTCTATATTGATTGTAATCTGTGTGGAACAGCCAAAGGTACCGTAGAGTGCAGAGGGAATAGGGTTGGGTTGGGTTGCATCCGAAAATCCCACACATACTTCAGGTACGTACGTATGTACCATGTGCACTCTGCCTAGACCACATTGAATTGCATGGAGAGTGTGCAGCATGTGAGCATGGGGCAACTGGGCGAGCGCGCGCTCTCAGGGAACGAACTGAAAACGAAGCAAACCGCAGCCAAGTCCCGCGACTCGCTGGCTGCCTCGTAAAACTGTCACTTAATGTAGTAAAAAGAGCATAACAAGAGTTTTGTCCGATTTTATTTCTTTATGAATGTCGTCGTCGTCGCTGCCGAAATGCCAGCCACGGACCGCGCCAAGCTGGGATGGGAGCAACAGCAACAGCAAACGGCAAACGGCCACAGCAGCCGCAACAGAGCAACAGAGGCAGCCCGGTCTGGTCGCATTCTTATCTTTTGAGAAATATTACAAAAACACGCAAAGCCCAGCACCAAATGAAACTCCAACTCCAAGTCCCAAGTCCTGGCCAGGCAGCAGCCCAGTGATGCGCCGCGGCCGCTGCTGCTCTGCTTCTGCTGCAGGCTGCGATTGGAGCCAAGTCCACGCTCGAGACCCAAGAGCAGTCAGAAAGGTAAACCAATAAAAATAGCTGAGCCTACGACGCGACACATTGCTGTTGTTGCCAGTAGAGAATTCGCGGATTCTCCTCCTCTCCCTCCTCCTACCGTGCTTATCGCTGCTCTTCGTTCCACTTCCACTTCCAGCGGCAGCCAGGCCTATAGTGTGGGCGATGGCCCCAACACAATGCCCAAGTCGACAACAAGTCCACTGCCGCGTCGTTGTCGTACGTGTGACTCGATCATTTGTAGCCCAGGAGCAGCATAATATTTGCAGTGGGATGCATCCAAGCACTCATTATATGAACATTTATATAAATATAAGAATTGGAGAGAAGGTTTTTAGATATTTAACCTTTTTTTTTGTTAATTTCATTACACATATTTCCTCTGCGAAATTACCTCCTCTGTGTTGTGGTTCACGTGTTCTTTTGAATTGTTGAAATTTACCCGGGTACGTGTTCAGTGCTGTAAATTGTGGAAGAGCCAGTGTTGCAAAGTGGACGCATATTAGCAAACAGCTGAGCCAATGTTTTCATGACGGTTACTTATCCATACATATGTACATATGCATAACAAATAAAGAATATTCGTATCAATACACATATATACAACATTCCTAGTATATACACGTGTATATTAACAGATGTTCAATTCCCTTTTCCTCAGGCATGGGGTGATGTTCCCTCGAGCCAAGCATGATCCATCCGACTTTATCTAGCAGTTTTGGCGGGTGTGTGGCCACATCATCGCTTGACGAGATTAGATAAGATGCAGTGGATTCGTCTTTATCTCACACTTAATTTATTTGATCATCCAACGCTGGGAAGAAGCGTGGTCTCGAAACACAAACACGTTAACACAAATACGTACATACACATACAATTTAGCCCTAGGGAGTGGATTGGTGTGGTGTGGAGGAGTGTAGCGAGGGATAGGAGAATATTTTGACTATATGTATACTGAAAACTGATTTGATTACCATACATATTTAGAGTATAATGTAGATATTAGATATAATATGTAATGCCTTTGAAATTTCCTAATGCATATACTGGCTACTGGCTCGTACATGTGGCCAACATGGCTCTATCTAGTCCTGCTTCTTTTGTGCGGCTGTCTTTTTGGTCGTGGGGGCCGCCGCCTCGATGGCCGCCCCATTCGCATTCGCCTGCCCCTCCAACGGCAGGGGCTTTGGCTTGGCGCCAGCTGCTCCTGCTGCGGCCTCCTCCTCCATCTCGCCGGAGAAGCCGAATTCGTTGACTCGCTTGAGGTCGACGCGGTACTGCCAGCGCTGGTAGAGGAACACAAAGAAGATGATGTCGTCGCGGAAGCAGCCTAATCGGTACATGGTGGGCATCTTGATCACAAACGCGAAGATGTCGTCGATGAATGTGTTGAGGAATTTGTAGGTCATCATGCGCCACGGCATGTGGGCGACCGACTTCATCTTGTAGTTGATGAACAGCTGCGGCGTCATCAGGATGAATCCGAACGTCAGCAGGTAGCTGTAGAGCATGTTCAGCACAAAGGAGTACCAGCCCTTGTGCTCGTTGTAGATCAGCGAGTAGATGAAGTAGCACACCAGCAGGGGGAAGCAGGCCCAGCCCAGATACTTGAAGGCCAGCCTGTCGTACTCCTTGGTGGAGCTCTCAGAGTAGGAGCCCTTGTCGTTGAAGCTGATCCGGGGGAACACGCCCAGGATCTTTTCCTCATGGTTGTAGTTGATGTCGACCACCTTGTGGATCTTCCACACCTCGATGCCCAGGCCCACGAAGCAGGATATGCGTATCATGAAGTTCGTCTCATTGTCCAGCACGTACAGCAGTATGATGAGCGACTGGAAGACGGCGAAGAACACGGAGCGGACGGACAGGCCCTCCAGCGACTTTCGGTTGTTCCAGAACTGAATGTCGTTCTTGAAGGCGAGCAGCTCGAACACCGAGTGCAGTATGGAGACGGCCACAGTGATGCCGAGCAGATAGATGTTCGTGTCGAGCAGGGTCTCCTTGAGCGAGTCCTGGTCCTCGTCGGTCTCCTCCACCGCACCAGCTGCCATAATGTCGCCCAGCATGTTGCCAGCCCATTTGTTCTTCATCTGCTTGGCGGCATACAGCTGCCACTTGAACATGCCGAGCGGCTGGAAGGTCAGGTGCAGCTCCAGCTCGGGAGTGGTCTGGTTTATGGGTAAATATTCACGCTGCAGATTCCAGTAGTCATTGACAAACAGAATGGGCAAATAGGTCTTACCGCCATCCACAAACTTGACATACTCGTCCAGTGGCGGCGGCACCGATCCCTGGGCCCAGTTCGTCTGGTCCACCACGAGGTTGACCGTCAGATTGGGATGCCAGTGGGACACGATCTGGTCCTTGAGATTCGCGTGCTTCAGCTCGTGCTCCAGCTTCTCCTTCTCGCTGGCCAGCAGGTTGTAGTTACGATTCACGCGCAGCTTCTTGAACTTGTTCAGCTGGTGCTGCTGGTGGCCCATGTGACCGCTCCGGGCATAGTTCGCCGATTTGGGGTCCGGGCTCTCGCCGCTCCTCGTCACAAAGGCGTGCAGGTAGACGCTGCCGTTGTTCATTAAATGCTGACTGGCCCTAATTTTCAGGTTGTGGCTGTAGATGCCGTCCCTGGAGGGGCCCGAGCTCCAGTCCCCATACGTGAGATCCTCCTGCAGCCACAGCAGATTCGCCTTCTGCTGGAAGTTCACAACGTCCGGTTCCTCCGACAGCCAGACGTGCAAATCGAAATCTGTTCCGTTCTCAAAAAAGTTCCACGCGGTTATTTTTGGACCCGCTGCGGCCACGCTCTTGTCTTCGCCGGCATTCGTCGTCGGCTTTCGGAAGAACGAGCTGACAAAGTAGATGATCAGGGCTCGCAGGATCAGCGACTTGGTCATCGCAAAGAAGGACTCCATGCGAGAGGGCTGATTTTGGGGTGGCTGTGGCTGCGGTTCTTGACCTTCAGCACCCGCATTGTTGGCCAGCTCAGCGTTCCCATTCCCAGCAGCCACCTAAAAAATGGGGGCATTGAAATGTCTTTAGCACGGCTGATGCAATCGAAGAAGGCCTTGATTTAGCTTACCGCGCTCTCAGCCGCAGGCTGTTCATCACCCGCAGTCGACATGTTGTGTACTTTAAACGTTATCCACGTTTTTCTCTCAGGGTTTTTCTTTTTACACAACGTTCTTTATAAATTGCAATTAGCGCCCAGTGTGACCGTGGTCGCCAAAATATACCTGCTAATTTTCGAAATATACCGTAATATACCAAAAATATATACCTACGACAAAATATACCAAAAAGTATATAGTATATATTAGCTGACAAAGAAACGATTGTACTAAAGAGCTTGCAAATTCTATACACATTGTGTTACCTGATTCAAATGTTTATTTTTAATTATTTAAATGTCAAATGTTGTCCCAACACTCCCACTAATGCATCGTTTCATACCGCATATCGCACAAAAGTATCGATTTCATTCGCAGCTACCCTGCCTGCTTATATCGATGTATTGACATATCAATGTAGTCACACCCCTAATTTTCCTTTTCTTTTGAAATAGCATTTGGTTGCACGTTTTTCTGGGTAAGTTTCTGAAATAATGTGAAAATAATTGGCAAACAGCGAAAGTGTTACAAAAACATACTGCCCATGGGCGAGCCATGTGTTTGTGCACCGAAAACTGGTGGCATCGAGGCGGTTTGCCCGGAATAGAACGCCAACAAGACCGCCCACTTGGCAGCAGGTCGGACCTAACCTCGAAGCCGCCACACAAACGAAACATGTCAGAAAATGTGACGCTTTCGTGAAATTAAACTAGTGCGAACTGAACTAATTGCGACTTTTGTGCTTGCAGCAACGATCCGAAAATGCAAATTTTTGTGAAAACTCTCACTGGCAAGACCATCACCTTGGAGGTCGAGCCCTCTGACACCATCGAGAATGTCAAGGCTAAGATCCAGGACAAGGAGGGCATTCCCCCAGATCAGCAGCGTCTGATCTTCGCCGGCAAGCAGCTGGAGGATGGCCGCACTCTGTCCGACTACAACATCCAGAAGGAGTCGACCCTGCACTTGGTGCTCCGCCTGCGTGGTGGTATCATCGAGCCCTCGCTGCGCATCTTGGCCCAGAAGTACAACTGCGACAAGATGATCTGCCGCAAGTGCTACGCCCGTCTGCACCCCCGTGCCACCAATTGCCGCAAGAAGAAGTGCGGACACACCAACAACCTGCGCCCCAAGAAGAAGTTGAAGTAGACGCTGTCCCTGCCACCCGGCTGTGCCTGCTGCTGCAGCAGCAGCATCTACTCTGCCCCAACACCATCCATGGCGGCAACAACAACATCTAATCCAATGGTTAACAATCTAAGTAAATATATGGACATTTTGTAAAACGGTCAGCCCAAGCTACGATTCACTGAGAAATGTATTTGCCTGTATATTTGCTACAAGGCGCACCGCAACCACCCCATCCCATGTGTATCTGTTGTTGTGTCTTGTTATGATCTGTAAGCCAGTCTGCAACCCGTTTTGAGTCACAACTGGAGCTACTGGTACTGGAACTCTTATACTGCGTCTCTCTCCCTCGCTCTGGATGACACTCGAGCTTCGAGCCTGGCAAGCCTGTTTTCTGTTTATGTTTCTGTTTGGGTTCTTGCCATGCCAACTGTCGATGCGATTGAGCAGCAGCTGGTTTCAGCTTACATCCAGGAAGCGGCGGGATGGCGACCGCAGTAATTGATATGCCATTTTCCAGCGACCTTTGCTGCCTGTTGCGAGCTGCGGCCGAGATGTGGTTAGCCAAAGGGAAAGGGGTCCGCGTCGCGTCTGTGGATCGTCATGGATCGATGGAGCAGACCTACTTGGGCACGACGACTGCTGCGAGTACAGTTAATTGGTTGCATTGGATCTGGACTCTGCACTGGACTCTGCAAGAACTGGCACTTGTCCCGCACCAAGATGGCAAACGGCTTCCGCTGAGCGAACAGGTTATGATGCCATACCCATCCATCCATGCTGGTCGAGATTCCCCCCACTGCTCTTGGACCCCCACCCCACCCAGGCAGAGCTTATTTTATGAATCTCTTAATAACCCAGTGGGTGACTGCGGCAGAGCTGTGGAATGGCATGGCCCCCCCGGGGGGGCCGGCGCTACCTGGTGACGGCCCAAAGGGTTCGCGCCTCCGTGCGAAAAGTCCTGATAAACAAAACCTGATAACACAAACGGAGAAAAGCAGCTGCAAGAAGGACCAGGACACAGGACGGCGGCCAGCAGCCAGGCACAAATTGCGGTCAACATTAATTAAAAAGTACAGAGTGGGCCACCCAAGCCAGATGCCCTGCCCCACCCTTGTGGCTGGTACCGCGCGAATGATGAAACAACGGATTCACAGCAATGCAAAATGTTGATGGCCGCCGCTTACCTACACCTCCGGCTGTGTGCGGGGCACTGGAAAGGTGGAAAATGCGAACACCAGCCAGCCCTACCGTGCGGCTGTGTACTGTGGTCCATGGAGGACCGACCTTCGCCAACTGCCTGCAGTAACTACGCAAAGCTCCGATCTCGGAGCTGCCACTGTGTGCGGGCCACGTTCTCTGCGTGCTCCCTCCGAGCATGTCCCCCCCGCATGTCCCTCATGCTCTCATATAATATAAAAAGGTGTTGTGTGCGGGCGTGGGGCGTGGGGAAAAGTATTTTAAAAATTAAGGCACTGCTCCAGGACAGGTGGCCGCTTATTTATGGGTCCCGGGTCCTGGCTCCTGGCTCCTGTCTTCGTTTTTAATTTTTGCAACGCACGAGAGTGGGAGGGGCAGCAAGCAGCTACCGCACCGCAGCCTCCGCACCACGTCGCCGTTTCGGGCTTTGTCTTTTGGGCTTACTTCAGGCGGCGCCTCCGCCTCTGCCATCTTGGGGGACTTTTATGGCCTGGTCGCAGTTTACATAACAGATGTGACCAGAATAATTAAGAGTGCGCTTCGTGGTCGCTGCGAAGGATGGGATGGTGAGTGCCTTCGATTCCTCGATCCGGGTCCGATGCCCGATGCGGGCCTCCCGAGTGACCCAAATATCCCCGCTCCCCTTTCCGCACAACTCCGCTCGAGGACATCCACTTGGATGGCTTCTTCTCTGGTCACTCGCCGGCTGACACTCTTAACGTTTTGGGCGTTTCTCTTTTGGGCGGGCTGGGCTCGGCTGGGCTGGGCTGGGGGGACGGGCGTTTGAAGCGCATTAATATTGCAAACGGAGTCCGTTCCTCGTCCCTCCCCCCTCACCGAGCACCGTTCTTCTTTACGACGAAAAGTGCTCATTGAAAATTGAACGAGTTTCCTTTTGCGCCACTTCCACTTTGCGGATTTCTCGTTTCCATATGGTGCGGCAGGACAGGACAGGGCGCGGCTCGGCACGGCACGGCACGGCAGGGCACAGATGGGAGGATTGCGTGAGTTATGGCCGCCGCTTATGCAACAAAGTCAACTCCTGATTGCCTGGATGTTCGAATGGATAGTTTCTGAATATTGCGGCTCCGGCAGCAGTGTCGAAAAAAGTCGAAAAAAAAAAAACGAAAAAAGTAATTCTCCTTTCGCTCTCCCAAAACCAAGCCAAACCAAACCAAACGGAGGAGCACTGCAGTAAGTTGCTCTAAAATATGCACTCCGCGGCCTTCGAATTGGAGTGGCATGGGGAATGGGGCATGGGGCATGGAGGTGTCCCTCTGTGTATATGGCGGCATGAAAGTTGTTTGGCTCCTGGGGGCTCACTGAGCGAGAAAAAAGCGGATTTTTCAATCGGCAAGAAGAATTTTCAATTTGAAATAAATTTCCAGCTCGACTGGGAGGGCCCCGGTCCTGTCCCGCCTTATCCGTGCGTCTCCATCTTTTGGCCCGACTTTCTCTTCCTGCTTTTCTGGACTTTTCTCTCTGTGGACTCGCCGCCAAGTGTCCTTGCAGGGCGGGCAGAAGAAGCGAAAGAGGCGGAAACAGCCCCAAGATAAGCCAAACAGCCAAACGTTTATAAATTGGGCGCTAGTGTGGAATCCCAATGGTAATGATGTCGAAGCAGGCGGAGGCCGAGAACTGAGATGTCAGAAATACACACGCAGTGGCACAAGAGGGGCTGGATGGCCAATAAGGAAATATAAATTGCTCGAAAGGAGCACCGGGCGGCGCACGAATCCATTGGATACAAATACAAATACAAATGCGAGCAGAGCGGAGCAGAGCAGAGCGGAGCGGAGCATAGCGAGTATTGTGTAAGGCAGTGCGTGTAATTTAATATGCATAAATCGATACTTTTGCTTGGGGGTGCCCGCATCCGCATCCACATCCACATCCACATCCTCCCATTGCCCGCCCCCCATCCTCTACAGATATGTGAATGCGATTGGCTGTGTAGGCGCTCCTCTCGCGCTGTTCCTTCCTTCTGTTGTTTGTGTTCTATTTTGAGCGCAAAATTGTTATTTGTTTTTACGTATTCTCCGCTCACTCTCTACGGCCAGGACTACTGGCAACAGAGCAGGGGAGTGTGGTGTGGAGGAGGAGGGCTTTGCATATCTACAGTTTATGGGTTTCATACAGTTAACATTTTCCCATAGATAAGCACTTCTGGCACCGCCATGTGCTGTCTCTGCCCCCAGCGCCTGCTCCTGCTACTGCTCCTGGGTGTCGCTCTCCTCCGCTGTTGTTGTATCGCAAATAATTTGAAAAGTAATTTTATTCAATTTCAATTGTGTCCGTGGGGGGGGGTGGGTTGGGGGGGGGAGTGAATGGGGATGTGAATGTGAATGGGCGGAAGTGAATGGTCTCGATTTCATATGCCTCTCCGATACGAAACGATACGAGTACCGAGCGGAAGCTGGGGAGATGGGAGATGGGCAGGGAAGTAGGCAGATATACGGATAGGCGGATACACAGGCACAGGATAGGATGGACGGACAGGCAATCGGTTAGGCGACATATTGATTTCCTTGATAAATCGCAAATACTTAATAAAAATACACTCCAGTGATGGTGATGGTCTCCGCTACCCATCCTACCCATTCTACCCATCCGCCTTCCGGAAGGAGTTGCTCCAAGTGGAACCCAAATATATTCTCGGGGGGTGACGGGGACTCCCAAGGACTCCCATCTAATCGCGTTACAAAGGTTACTTTAAGCTTTGAGTCCTTGCCGCGGCCTGCGGGTTGGCTGCATGCAACGAGAGTCAACTCTGCGTTGCAGTCTGCTGGGACTAAGAAGACTAAGGGACTTCCCCTTCCCACCATTTCCACCCTTCCCACGCGTCTATTTGCATGGCGCACAATAACATTTCTATAACTATTCGAGAGTAAACAGAGCAGTCGACTACACAATCCAACGTGCCGGCGCGGAGGAGTCTGCTCCGTGCTTTGTCCTTCTCCTTCTGCTGCTCTTCCTGCAGCCCGCATCATCGACAGCCACAACTATTTTTCTTCCAGCTGAATTTTTGCTGCCGCTGCTGCTGCTGCTGCTGGTGCTGCTGCTGCCTTTGCCTTGACAGTCAGTGTGCTATGCGATTAACCAGACATCAATGGCTAAGGCCAAAACCGTAGCGTAGCCAAACTCAACTCAACTCAACTAGTAGCTGTGGCCTCCCCATGCCACTTGCCGCATGCCGCATGCCCCCCTTTCCATTGCTGTAACCATTGCCGATGCTGTTCCCTGGTGCTGCATCTCGGCAAACCACAAAGTTGGAAATTAGTTTGTTTTTCTGTCAAGGTGCCAGTGGAGCTACTTGGATTTTTGGCTTTGTTGGCTTACATTGCCAGTGGGCCCCAGTCCCGGTCCCGGTCTCAGTCCCAGTCCAATACCCCACCCCCCCGAACCACAGAGGAGTTCGTTCTCTTGCCACAATGCGGAGGTCTGAGCTTTAACTTCAGTCTTCGGTCTTCAGTCTGATATCTGGATTGTATCAGGCTGTGCTGTGTGGCATGGTGTCCTCAGAGATGGAAGCGCATTGATAATGTATTAATCCTTGCAGGACGTATGCAGGATGTGGCCACGAGTGTAACAGCAATTGCCCCAGATTGGTCGAAAAATGCGACTAAGAAGTATTCAATGACGGTTTTTGTATTTGCTTTGGCCCCCCCGCCCAATTCAAATCGATTCGATTCGATTTGTGGACATTCCGCCTGAACCTCTCCTGAGCATTGAATGAATGCCCGGTGCCCGGTGCCCGGTGCCCAGTGCCCAGTGCCTTATGCCAGCTCCAGCTCCAGCTCCGGCTCGTATGCAAATTGAGTTTGAGGACAATTGTCCTCAATTGGACGCGTTTAAGTTGTCAAAGCTTCACTCACAATGGGAATATGTGGATAGGGGGTCAAGGGTGCGAGAGCGATAAAAGGCATAACACAAATCAAATATTCTCGATTGTCTATCCATCCGGATTGTTGCTCTACCCACTCTCCACCCTCCACGCTGCTCCTTCCGTTCGGATCGAGTTCAGGCA